TTATCTTTTAAAAGCTATATTTTGACTATTTTTATTTAATAGTATTAATGATATGTTTGGATTTAAATTCACTGTCTTGCTAGCTGTTTTCCATGTATTGTGTGGGTTCTTTGTCCCTTTTGTTTCTCTTTTGCTGTCTTATCTTGGGTTGAGATTTTCACTGGTCCCATTTTATTTCCACTATGGACTTGTTATTATACATCTATTTGTAATTGTTAGTGGTTTCCCTAGGGTTTACAATAAACATATTTAATTAATGTGAATCTTTTTTTTCTTTTGAAACGGAGTCTCAGTCTGTCACTCAGACTGGAGGGCAGTGGTGCAATCTCAGCTCCCTGCAGCCTCCACCTCCTGGGCTCCAGCGATTCTCCTGCCTCTGCCTTCGGAGTAGCTGGATTACAGGCACACAACACCACACCTGGCTAATTTGTGTATTTTTAGTAGAGACAGGGTTTTACCATGTTGGCCAGGCTGGTCTCGAACTCCTGATTTCAGGTGATCCACCCACTTTGGCCTCCCAAAGTGCTGAGATTACAGGTGTGAGCCACCACACCTGGCCTAATGAATGAGATTCTATTTTAAGTAATATTATTCTGCTTCACATGTTGTATAAGGATATTACAACAATGTAATACCAGTCCCTCCCCCCATTCTATTATTATATTTTATTTTTACAAAATCTGTTATTGATACATAATGCACTGCTGCTCTGGCTTTACACAGACACTTACCCGTTAGAGCAATTACAAGGAAGAAAAAAGTGAATTTTCACATCCATCCCCTCCATTTCCATCACTCTTACTTGTAACCTATTTCTTGCACTTTAACACCTCCTGTAGTTCAGGTCTGTAGGCAATGAACTTGCCCATTTTTGTTTCAGAAACGCTTATGTCTTCTTCGTGTTTCAGAGAGATTTGGGCTGCTATGGAATTCTAGATTAACAGGTGTTGGTTTTATTCTTTCAGCACCTTAAAAATGTCACTCCGTTATCTCCTGGCTTACCTGGCTTACCATGAAAAGTCTGCTTGGATTTTTCTTTGTTTCTCTCTATATAATGTATCCTCTTTTTTCTCTGGCTGCCTTCAAGACTTGCTTCTTGTCTTTGGGTTTCAGAAGCATTAAGATGCTATTACAGAAATATTTTTGTTGTTACTTTTCCTGCCTGTGTCCTCTTCGTTTCTTAGATCTGTGTTGATGGTTGTCACTAATTTTGAAAACTTCTTAGCCATTATTTCTTTAAAATTTTATTTTGCCTTGTTCTTTCTCTCTTCTGGGATTTATTTACATGAACTTAGGCTGCCTGATATTGTCACACAGCTCTCAGATACTGTGTTCAGTTTCCCGCCGCCTTTTTTGTGTGTTTGTTTGTGTAATTTCTAATAATCTGTCTTGAGGTTCACAGATTCTTTGCTCAGCTGTATGAAGTCAACTGACCAGCCCGTCAAAATCATTCTTTACCTCTATGATTGTTTTTCATTTCTAGCATTTTCGTTTAATTATTTCCCATAGACTCGTTTTCTATGCTAAAATTAACCGTCAGATCTTGCATGGTATCCAGCTTTTCTGTTCCTTAACTTATTAATTAGTTATTTTTAATTCCTTGTCTGATAGTTTCAACACGTGTCATATCTGAGCCTTGTTCTTTCAACTGCTTGTCTTTCATCAGTGTGTTGGCTTTTTTCTTATCTTTCCTTTCACCTCATAGGTCTTTGTTGTTGTTGTTGAAAGCCAGACATCTTAAGTAGGACAGTAGCGACTGCAGTGGATCACCTTCCTTCCTGGAAAGATGCATGATGCATGCCTTTTTTATTTTCTTTCCTTTTGCTAGGTTTTTAGAGTCTGGCTTCGGACCAGCCTAGTCACAATAGCCGAGGAAGGTCACCCCCATCCCCAGACCCAGGGATACAGTACCTGCCTAAGACAGACACTTAATCAGAGTAACAGAGAACACGACCCTTAGTGCACCCTGTGTTCACTGCCCTACCCTCTGCAGTTAAAGCTTTTGTTCCTTGGTAGAGATAGGATGGAAATATCTATGGAGACACTTTCTCAGAATTCTTGCCAATCTTTTTTGGAAGAACCAGCTAGGTCCTGTGGAGAGGAGCCTGCAAGCGCACGTGAATTTCCTTTATATCTTCAGTCCCTAGCTGATACTCTTCCTTTACCAATTTAACCGTTTTAGCTGAATTGGCCCCTCTTAAGCTCGTTCCTGTCTCTCCTTGGAGGTACCTGTCTTCCCTTAGATTTTGGGTAAGTCGGCTCCCCCGTGACTTCAGCTGTCTGGGGAGTTAAAGATAAGTTGTGTATTTGTGTTTGATTGGCATGTTGTCATAGTGGAACAATGCTCTTCCAGCTTTTCACATCCGAGACAAAAACCAGAAATCTTGATTTGTTTAGAAAATAAGTACTCAGAATATATTCAGGCTAGTTTGAGATGATGCCTGTTTGTGTCCAGGCTGAAAGACATACAAGAGGCCTTTCAAAAAGAAAAACAAAAGCTTTCCCATCTTTCTAGGCTCATTTTGAAAAGCAGTTGCTGTTCTGGACATTTACCACCAGAGGGCAAGCCGCTGCGTGGCTGCTCCCCGCTGGTAAAGCAGGTTTCCAATAGGGAAATCTCAGGGTGTGCAGTGACAGGCAGAGGCATCCCCAGCAGCCACTGCTCATGAGGAGGGCCTGTTTCATGGCCTCCTGGCCAGAACTCTCCCTGGGCTCTGCAGCCCCAGCCCTCACTGCAGGCCACCATTGACCCTCTGCAGAGAAGCCTTCCTGTTGGCCCCTCCGTGTCTTCAATTGTGAGTAGGCGTGTCCCTAGAGCCTCTCTCAGTACCTGGCCCTTCACCCCACCCAGATCGAGGCCATGAGGCTGCCAGACCCTTCTAGGTGGAGAGGCACTGGCATCTTCAGGGGTATTCCCAGCGTGCACTGGAGCCCTGGGCAGCCCAGAGAGTCCGTTTTAGCCCCACTGTTGAGGAGTCCCCAGGAACCCCATGAGAGGGAGGTGAGGGTGACTGTGTGGGCTGTTGTCTTAGCTTAGGTGGTTTATCTGAAACAAAGAAACCAAAATCACAGTGGAAGTCTGGTTCCCACACAAGTAAAGTCTACACGGTGTTTGAGTGGGGATCCGCTGTCTTCCGCAGGCACCATGGCAGGGGAGTGGGGAGGGGCCCCCATGCCTGAGCACATCACCCAGCACTTCCCACATTGCTTCTGTCCACAGACCATGGGTGCCGCTAGGTGCCTGTTGACCCTAAATGCTGGAGGCAGGGCGGCTGAACATGGAGTGGGGGCTGGGCTGATGCTTTCCAATGGCAACTCTACCTCGCCAGACCCAAAATGTCCAAACTGCTCCCACAGGAACTGCTTCTAACAGATTTTTCTTGTTCTAGAACAGTATTTCCTGAATTTGCTTGATCGGGAGATGCTTAAAATGTCGCTTTTTGAGTCATTTTCCCTGACACTGGTTTGGCCTATCTGTTCACCGGGGCTTGGGACTCCGGGAGCTGCACTGCTCTATTCTGGGCATGGGGAGCGCCTCTGCAACCCCCCACCCCATGAGTGGGAAGCGAGGCTAACCCCTTCTCTGTTTGCATAGTGACTCACAGAACTATGGGACAGGCTGCTGGGTACCACCCAAGGGAGACCTGTCCCTGAGCCAGCCCTGCAGCCCTCCCTGGCGGTCTACCCTGCAGCTCAGCCCTGGGGAGGGCAGCCACGCCAAGGCAGAACCCAACAGGCTGCAGCGAAGCCAGGTCAAGCCGCCCGACCTCTCAAACCAGAGCACTGCGCTTTCCAATCCCAAACCAGATTAATGAAAAGCCCAGAGCTGATCGTCGGTCAGCAAAGCTGCATTTCCCTTATAGGCAGTTTGGGGAAGCTGGGCAAGAAGAGGTGCGGGTGGAGGGGGGATTACTTGTGCCCACTTTTCCTCTTAAGCAACACTGGAGGGCAGCATTGAGTCAGTTTTTCCAGTTTCTTCCCAAATCAACTATTGGGGATTCAGTCTTCCATTGGATCTACTTCCTTCCCTATTTGTTCTCACCATGGCACCCTTGCCAGCAACCATGGGCCCCAGCAAAGCAGGGGAGCTAAGTGGAGCCCATGGAGGAGGCTGCTGCCTGCTCTGAGGACAGACTTGGGGAGACCATCTCCCACTTCCTCCTGCCCCTTGTCCCTGACAGTGCCCTTGGGAGCAGTCAGCCATGTCCCTAGGAACTCCTCTCACCAAGTCCCCCAGGAGCTCAGAGGCTCCTAGAAGATCCCAATACCCCCTCCACCCTAGCCCTTCTGCAGTGAGCCAGGATTTCCCACAGGTGGTGAGATTCACTGCAGAGGTTTTGTGATGAGTAAATCCCTCTGAGAAACAACCAGCCAGTCAATCTCCACCTACATGTGACCTTCTCGAAAGGACCCCTGACCCCCACCCAAAAAAGGCTTCTCCATCACTGCCTTCTGCCTGCTGTTCACCCTTCCAGGGCTCCTCACCACCTGATATTATGAGGTGTTCGTTAACCCGCTTATCTGTCCACAGCACAGGCAGGGACACGAATACAGACTTGTGGCCAAAATCACAGACCAGTAGAGGTCAGCAACACCCCTGCTCCCCTGCCTTGCACATTTGGCCCTTCTCTGGGATGAGACGAGAGCTGGGCCCCAGGGGCCTCTCACAGTGTGCCTAGCCTGCCTAGGTCCTTCCTAGAAACAGCAATAGCTTTTTACCCATTCTGATGTCCAATGGAGTATCTGCCATTGGACAGACCCAGAGACCCAGGGTCTAGGTGACGCTTCCAGCTGCTCTCACTGTCCACAGCAAATACGAAATTTTAAAAGCCAGCAATACTGGTTTTGAAACCTATGGTCTTCATGCTCCTGCTGGCACAGATCTGTGGTGGTCTCCACGTGGTGCACTTGTCACCCAGACACCTGGCTTGGGAATCCCCTTCCTATCCTCCCTGGGGACTGCCGGGGCTCCCAGCACAGCTCTGTCTCTTCTGTTCCAGCCGTGATCCCCCTGACGGATTCTGAGCACAAGCTGCTGCCTCTGCACTTTGCAGTGGACCCTGGCAAGGACTGGGAGTGGGGGAAAGACGACAACGATAACGCCCGGCTGGCCCAGTAAGACCCTACTCTGCCCCTTCCCACAGTGTCCACAGGGAGGGCTATGGCTGGGGCATCCTGGGGAGAGGCTGTACCACCCCTGCTGCTCCTGGGACAGCTGGCATGCAGGTGGGTTGGGTGCCACAAGGGCCAGCTCAGAACGTTTCAATAGGGTATTTCTTCTCTTGCCAGCTTTATCCTCTCGCTAGAAGCCAAGCTGAACCTTCTGCACAGCTACATGAATGTGACTTGGATCCGGATCCCCTCCGAGACACGGGTGAGCCTGGCGTGTGCTGGGACCAGACCTGGTGGCAAAGTCCAGGCTGCTCAGCTCCAGCCCAGCCAGGATGCATCCTCCTGAATGCCTGCCCAGCCGCCCACCCCAGCCATACCCACAGCCCAGTGGCCCCCCATCCCCTTTGACCTAGCCATCCCAGCTGCATGCAGCTGGGGCCACCCTGGCTGTGGTTTGAAGTATCTCTGGTTGGACCCAGTGGGTGTGTACACGCGTGTAGGCGTGTGTGCACACAGCATGCACTCCTGTTAAGGGATTTTTGTCCCCTATTTTCTGCAGAAGGAATAAACACACCCACTCAGAAAACAAACGACAGGCAAGTCAAAACACAAAACCATCTCTGCTGAGATCAGAACACAGTGTGCGCTGCAGAGCGAAATTAATTATAAACTGTGTGGGTCCTCAGAAAAGCCAGGGCGCTGAGGGTGCGGCTCCTAGCGCCCCCTTCCTCCCCTCCCGGAAGCAGTACGCTGGTGGGTGCAGCTGGCAGGAAGGTGAGGAGAGGGACCCATGCCCCACGAGGCTGCCTGCCTCCGGAGGATTGGGGCTGCCCCTGCTTGCAGATGCTGAGGGATTCGTTTTAAGTCTCTGACTGGTGATTTTTGAAATCTCAGTAGGGAACTGCCAGGGAAAAGGATTTGTAAAAAGCAGCCTGAAATAATTGGTCTCTCCAGACGTTTACTTAGGCATAAAGTGTGGCTCATGAGGAACGGGTAGAGGAGGGCGTGAGTAAAGGAGTCGGGGCCGGCACTGTTCAGTGCTCTCAACCCCAGCCTCTGCTGGCACGTCATCCTCCAGGGCCCCATGAGGCAGAGACTGCTACGCCATTTTACTGATGCCATAGTGACAGGCAGTCGGTGGCAGTCTGAGTCTTGCCCCTCAAAGGCCTGGAGCACACCCGTGGTGCTGTGGTTTTTCTTTAGAACCCACATGGAGAGTGATGGCAGCGGCTCGGGATCTAGAATCAGGAGGCTCTCGGGCTAAGCGTAGCTCTGCCTGCAGTTGCCAGGCTTGGTGCCTTCAAGCCAGATGCAGGGCCCCCAGCAGACAACCGTGGGAAGGGTTCTTCCAGCCAGGGGCTCCTGAGCCCGCTCCCAGTGCGTGCCTGTAGCACCAGGCGCACCTCCCTTCCTGGCCCAGCCCAAGTGTCCACCCTTTAGTGTCTCACACACGGGTCTGACACATTTCACACCTTCCTACCCCAGGTGGGAAGAGGAAAGGAATTTCAGAGTGGGAGGTGGTGAGAGTCAGTTCTGCTCACCTTTGCTTCAGGATGGCCTGATCACAAAATAGTCACCGTCTCTTGGACTTGTTTGAGGGGTCTGGGGGCGACAAAAATTAAGTTGAGGAGCAATGGGTCTTCTCCTAGGCTCGTGCCCTGGAGGCCAGGGAAGCCTGTTCAGGTATGAGCACCAGTTCCTGCAGCACCCAGGGCCCTGCACCCCCGTCCAATGACACTCCGTCAGAATTCTCTCCTCACCCAGGGAGGTCCCCTGCAAAGCAGCAGCAGGTGCTGCCTGCCTTTCTGCCCTCCCACCTCCTCTCTCAGGTTCCCCCAGCCCGAGATATGGCCGTGCCCTCCCCGGACTGGCTGACCACATCAGTGGGTCTCATCAAAGGTGTGCTCCCCAGCATCCTCCCCTCCCCACCCCACCCCCACAGGGCTCTTTTCTGGGAATGGGAACATCTTCTTTGCCGAGCCCAGCCCTATTTCAGAACCCTTCTCAATTTAGGGCTACACCTTGCCAAACTGAGAAAGGAACCCCTGAAGCCATTTGGCATCCCTGAAACAAAGGGGTGTTTGATTCAAGATCCGATGAATGAGGTTGAGTGCAAGGTTTCTGTCCCCTGCCTGACGTCAGCGGGTGAGACATCTTTTCAAGGGAGACACTTCTGTGCAGGCCCAATGCCCTCCCCACACTCCCCCCACCGCCCCCCCAACACCAGCCCTGAAGGCCTCCACTTTTACAGAGGCCAGCCTGGAACCCGTGTCTGGTCAAGCAGGCGGCCTCTACAGTGGGAGAAGGCCGGAGTCTGGGCCTGATCGTTCTCTCTAAGCTGTGACGAGGCTCTGGGGCCCAAGGCTAAGTGGGGTATCCGCACCCTGCCCCACTCCCCCACTCAGGGTTCCAAGCCACCAAGCACCTGAGTTCCCCAGAGAGGAAGAATGAATACAGCCAGCTTCCCTGGCCAGAAGACACACGCAGATCAGCGGTCCGTACATCCTTTTATTGCTGCGGCAGATCAGAGCCGGATCCTATCCCTCCTTTCCTTCCGCACAGCCCTGGGACAGTGAGGCTCGCGGGCCCCAGCCTCCAAGGCAACACAGGGCAAGGTGTGTCTTCCTCCGCCCGCGCGTGGACAGCTCTTCTCTAACCGCCTTCCCCCGCCCGCCCTCTCCACACAGGCGCCCCTGGCACAGCCGGAGTCTCCCACGGCCTCGGCAGGGGAGGATGTGCAGTCCCTGGCCGACTCGCTGGACTCGGACCGCGACTCGGTGTGCAGCAATTCCAACAGCAATAATGGCAAGAACGGCAAGGACAAGGACAAGGAGAAGCAGCGCAAGGAGAAGGACAAGACGCGCGCGGACTCCGTGGCCAACAAGCTGGGCAGCTTCAGCAAGACGCTGGGCATCAAGCTGAAGAAAAACATGGGCGGCCTCGGCGGCCTGGTGCATGGCAAGATGGGCCGCGCCAACTCCGCCAACGGCAAGAACGGGGACGCGGCCGAGCGCGGCAAGGAGAAGAAGGCCAAGTCGCGCAAGGGCAGCAAGGAGGAGTCGGGCGCGTCGGCCAGCTCCCCGCCGTCGGAGAAGACCACGCCGTCGCCCACGGACAAGGCGGGCACGTCGCCGGCGGAGAAGGGCGGCGGACCGCGGGGCGACGCCTGGAAGTACAGCACGGACGTGAAGCTGAGCCTCAACATCCTGCGCGCCGCCATGCAGGGCGAGCGCAAGTTCATCTTCGCGGGCCTGCTGCTCACCAGCCACCGGCACCAGTTCCACGAGGAGATGATCGGCTACTACCTGACCAGCGCGCAGGAGCGCTTCAGCGCCGAGCAGGAGCAGCGGCGCCGGGACGCCGCCGCCGTCGCCGCCTCCACCGCCAAGCGGCCGCCGCGCAGACCCGAGGCGGAGGGAGCGCCGGGCCCGGAGCGCGCGTCCCCGGGCCCGCCCACGCAGCTGGTGCTCAAGCTCAAGGAGCGGCCGAGCCCCGGGCCCGCGGCGGGGCGGGCGGCGCGGGCGGCGGCGGGCGGCACGGCCTCCCCAGGAGGCGGCGTGCGGCGCGCGGGCAACGGCGGACCCGTGCCCGGCCGCAGCCCCCCGGCGCCTGCGCGCCAGAGCGTCATCCACGTGCAGGCGGCGGGCGCGCGGGACGAGGCGTGCGCGCCGGCCGTGGGGGCGCTGCGGCCGTGCGCCACGTACCCGCAGCAGAACCGCTCGCTGTCGTCGCAGAGCTACAGCCCGGCGCGCGCCGCCGCCCTGCGCACGGTCAACACGGTCGAGTCGCTGGCGCGCGCGGTGCCCGGGGCCCTACCGGGCGCGGCGGGAGCGGCGGGCGCGGCCGAGCACAAGTCGCAGACCTACACCAACGGCTTCGGCGCCGCGCGCGACGGCCTGGAGTTCGCCGACGCCGACGCGCCGGCGTCGCGATCGAACGGTGAGTGCGGCCGGGGCAGCCCGGGGCCGGCGCAGCGGCGCTGCCAGCGCGAGAACTGCGCGTTCTACGGACGCGCGGAGACCGAGCACTACTGCTCCTACTGCTACCGCGAGGAGCTGCGGCGGCGGCGCGAGGCGCGCGGGGCCCGGCCGTGAGGGCGCGGCGCGGCGCGGGCGGCGAGGTTCTCCCTTCGAGGATTTCTTTTCCATTCTGTCGGTGTCTTTTTTACATGCCCTGGTCACCGGAAGGCCGGCGCCTCCTCGGTCAGTGCCGTGTACGTGTTTGGTCAAACTCTCCTAATGGTGCCTGAACCTACACTGACGCCACTCAGGTAGTAGACGGATAGGAAACAAGTCATACTGTTGGAAGTGGGTGTGCTAGCCTAGCATCTGCCTCGTACCTGTGGAAACTCAATAGCCATTGCAAGAGTATTTTTGTTCCTCAATAAGAGAAATAAAGAAATTCGCAGCCCTTTGTTTTTAGAAGGGAGTGTTTTACATGCTTTTTTTGCCTTTTTTTTTTTCTTTTTTTCCCGACCTAGCGATGACCTCTTCCAGGTGGCGGTCCCCTGTGCGCGGTTGGTACTACCCAGAGCTTAGAGCGAACGCGCACCCGAGGCTGTGACGGAGGCTCCTCTGCGGGCTCCACCTGCCTCTTGTCCCGGGGCCTGGGAGAGGGCGGGCACCTGGCCCCTGCTGACGCCCTGGTGGTCACGGTGGCCCTTTAGAAACACATGGCTCCATTTCCTAAGCATAAACCTCCTCCCCCGGCCCCGGCTCGAGTACCATTCACACTGCCATCCAAGCCGCGGGCGGCCGTAGGAAAGGCACCAGACCACCGGTCTCGCGGGCGCGGTGAGGTACAGCGATGGCTCCCAGTGCCGGGCAGCTCAGGTGGCAGGAGCTTTCCAAAGACACCTAGGGTCCAAAAAGCAGGGTTCCGACCTCACAGTTTGGATTTGCCCATAGGGGACCAGATAGGACAGCCTGCTCACATGCCTTCTTTGAAGGCACTTCCACAGTGGACTGTCTACAGGACCCTGGGGGTGACCATCGGTGCCCCAGGAGACAGGCGAGGCATTGACCCTTTGGTCGGTCCCTGAGTAAGCCCCCTCTAGGCTGCTGCTCTTTCCAAAAGGAAGGGGCTGGGGGAACCAGGAAGGAAGCCCACCCCCACACTTGCATCTGTCTGGGTTCAGCCAGGTAAAGGTACTCACTGTGATCGGGGCCCCTCCACGGGGCAGGACGACCCTGCCTCCGGTTCGTGACACAATAAGGGAGCAGCCCGATCCCTGAGCGGTCTCTTTTTTGGTGCCTCCTACATTTCTTGAGGGGAAAAAAAAAATGTGTCCTTAGCTACCCTGTTTTGAGCAGCAATATGCAGCCTCTTCCTTCCAAGATTACCTCCAGAGAGCACCGTTCTTGGCCAGGGACACTGAGGAGCTCAGCCTGCCTCACTAAGGAACGACCTTGTTTCCAAGAAATGAGGATAAGATGGGTAAAATCCTCACTAACAAAAGAATACTTTAAAACCTGTGAGAGCCTTAGAATAGACTCTTAATAATCTTAGGAAAGGAGCAAGCGCCTGGCTTTGCTGTGAGTTTATCCTCAGAAAAAGCAGGAGGTCGACCATCTCTTTACTGGAGCCAGCTTCTCTAGAAAGGATGCTTTTTTCCCGAAATAAAGAGCAGCAAAAACAAAACAAAAAAGGGGAGGGGATTTTTTTACTTGTTTGAAAAATTATAATAAAATAATTGAGTATCTCCTGTGAGTAATGCCTTTTTGTTTTTAATTATTCCACCGCAGGTGGGGTTTTTCAATAATTTGTTCAAGTTTTACATAAGCAGTTCCTTAAATCAAAAATTATTTATTAAATAGGATCTTTAAGAAATTTTTTGAAAAGTTTTACTTTTCCTGCTGAACAATATTCTCAATGTGTGGTAATAACTGTACTAACATCCATGTCCCTGATATTACCAGGGTTTCTTTTATTCCTCAGCAAACAAAAAATGGGTTTTAAAAAAATCTCTCATGGAGAGGGTTTGTGGCCTCTTTCTGGACTGATTGTTTGTGTCACGCTGAGCAGCTGCTTTGCCATCCAAAGCTGTGGGGTCACAGGAGGTGTTTCTTCAGAGGTGGGTGCCAGCCACTCCTCATGCTCCTCACTCTTAAAAGGTTGAGACCCAAGCTTAAAAATGCTTCAGTAATCCATTCAGAAACCACACTCGGATGCACAAGACGTCAAGGAGACATAAAGTCAATTCTTGGTTTTTTCATTTCATTTTTTTTTTTTTTTTTGAGACGGAGTTTCGCTCTTGTTACCCAGGCTGGAGTGCAATGGCGAGATCTCGGCTCACCACAACCTCTGCCTCCTGGGTGCACGCAATTCTCCTGCCTCAGCCTCCTGAGTAGCTGGGATTACAGGCATGTGCCACCATGCCCAGCTAATTTTTTGTATTTTTAGTAGAGACGGGGTTTCACCATGTTGACCAGGATGGTCTCGATCTCTTGACCTCGTGATCCACCCGCCTCGGCCTCCCAGAGTGCTGGGATTACAGGCATGAGCCACCGCGCCCGGCCTTTTTTCATTTCTTAATGTAAAAACAGCCAAGGAGAAATTTACAAAACTGGCTATACAAATTCACATATTTTCTTTCTCATGCTCTCTGCCGGGTTTAAAAAAAAAAAAAAAACAGAATATAAACGGTCCACTGTAATAGAAGAAAACCTTGCAAATCGAGCAGAGTACCTAATTATCAGAACACCAGGACCTGTTCTCCCCTTGCATTTCCAAGTTACCTCCACCCATCACCATCTGATGACAGATGTTCCCTAAATAAGAGCCAGAGATAAAGCCATGGGCTGCATCCTGCACCCCAGCTTCTCAGTGTGGTAACGAGGCACCAGACGCCTGTAGACGCCTGCTCCAGGCTGACACATTACCACTCAGTCCACATGACTTAAGAATAGCCATTTCCTTTTGTGAGAGATCCGGATTCATCCTTTCTCTGAAGCGTATTAAAAATACAAAAGGGCGAGAGCCAGTGGTCGTATTGAATGTGCTAGTCCTGTGCACAGACAGAATGCTCCTTGTGTTGAGAAGAGCCATTTAGACCTGTTCCCTGGCCAGAGGCCAACTTCATCAGGCTGGCCAGGAACTATTAAAAACTGTGTGGATTGCGTGTGGGCCAAGGGCTTCCCTGACATTCCACGGTATGAGGGCCTTTTGTGGAGCAAGGAGAAAGAGAAGAAGGTGAGTCCCACTGGGGTGCACAGCCCTGCTGCTGTGGCTGACCCTGCCTGAGGGCAGCCTTCCCCACCTGGTCTGACCACACTTCCCTTTCTAGGAAGCACAGGTGTCTCCAAGGGACTGCAGGTTTCCAGAGGATCCCAGATACTTCTCAACCCCTGTGAAGGTTATTTCAGAAATTTACTCATATTTCCTGCACATGTGTTAACTGGGTAAATGATTTTTTAAAATACATTGTTAAGGGAAGGTGTTTTTCAGTGTATTCTGTTTGTAGATTTTCTGCTGTGTTGGCGTTGAGATTTTACAAGCCAAGTTTAAACTGTCCTATAGAAATTATTTTTGTATTATTTTAAGAACGTGCCGCAGAGCAGTACTTTGCACCCTTTATTGTCACAGGGTTGTCCCTTGGAAGGGTAACCGGAGGTGGGAAGGAGCTCCGCTCTGGGCTCCAGGGGTTTCAGCGCTTTTTGCTGTGTGTCCAGATACCTTCTGAAAGTAGGAATGTATACATGTCTTTTTCTATTGAAAGCCTGATTTCCTTTGTCTGTTCGTGGATTTTGGTACTGCACCTTTCCTCTTAAATGAATACTTTGTTTTCACGAAATTACTGTGGACCTTTTCTTACCTATTACCACCCGGTGGCATTTGAATCCATTACTTTACAAATTGAATGTTTTCCCAGATGATCTAATTTGCTACTTCTCATAGCTGACTGTCAAGAATTGGGTGGCTGAAGAGAAAAGGACGCTCCAGGCCCCCCAGGTGCATGCCTCAGGGCTGCACATCCTCCATGCAGCACCCACCCTGTCTCTGGGGAGGGGTAGTTTTGCTACTTTGCAAAAATACACTTAACCTAGCAAAATCTACTTCACATTAGTTAAGATTAAAGGGCTGTACTTACCAGTGGTGGGAAATTTGTGTAAGAAAAAACAAAGACTTTTCCAAATCCGTGTGTGTAAGTTCCATTCCATGTGAGTCTTTTCTTTACCAAGAGACCTGGAGTAAAAGCCGAAGGCACCTGCTGTGTGTTCAGGGCTCCTTCCTTTATGACGTGATTCTTTTTCTCCTTCTCTTGGAGTGGACTTTACAAGTTAAGTTCCCCCCCACACACACACACACAGTGTTCTGTTCTTTTTCTTTCTTCAGTGCTTCTAATAAGTAAGAAGAAATGTGTTTCCGTGGCTGAGCGAGCCCTGCCGGGTCAGACAGACCTTTACCAGCTCCGGCTTGGTGTGTCTGTCCTCAGCCCTTGCTCTAGCTGAGGACAGACACACCATATGAAGGGCCCGGAGGTGGCTGACATGCCAGGGAGCTGTAGCCCCTTCCGAAACACCTTAACGTGGTGGCTCTCTGGAGAGCTTACTCCTGACTCTAAACTCTAGCTGGCCTGTTTCAGTGTGGCTGTCCGGGGCGGTGGCCAGCACTCAGCTTTGTTTGTTCTTGTTTAATTCAAGTCCACCCTGTTTCCCGTGTCCTCTCCACAGCTCTGGGTCTGTTGGCCCAGAGTGTATTTCTGCGTGTTGTGTCAGTGACACGAGAGTGGGTCCAGGGTAGTTCATCACAGAGAGGCCAGCACACGCCATGGGGAGAGCCCCCTACGCTCACCCTGGAGGCTCTGCTGCACATCCAGGCTGGACCACCCTGCAGGCCTTTCACAGCAGCTCTGGGCACTGCAGACTGGCCTGTTAGCAGTTACACAGGTCCCTTCTTTCCCAAAAAGACCTATTCTTCCTCCCCACTGCACCCCTAACAGAAAAGAGTGAGGGAGACGCCCTGCAGGGACCCCTTGGGGACAACAGGTATGTGTGGTCTGTGCAGTGTGAGCACCTGGCCCCGCCAGGCTGAGCCGAAGACACGTAATCAGAGCAGCACTGAAGCCATCATTGCCAACCATGCTAGTAATATTAATGTTTCTGTTTATTTTGCCAAATAACTTGTTGAAATTTGCATTTTTGCTATTTCAATGTTGCCCAAAAAGGGGGGCCTCACTAATCCTAATTATGTACACACAGAATGATGCACATTGCTTCTATCTTTTTATTCTCCCAGAGAGCATCTCAAGGATTGTGTGTGTGTGTGTGTATGTGTGTGTGTGTGTGTAACTTGTTAGTTTAGCGTAGGCTGAAGAGTACCATTTGGTTTTAAGAGTAAAGATAGGCTGAATCCGCTCAAGACCAAAGTAACCTATTAATTTAATGAGGACAAATTAGTGAAAAACCAGCTGTTTTAAAATTTATCTACAGACAGTGGAGCACTACTTTAAATGAAGAAACAGCCTCCCACGGCAGAGGGAAAACCAGGTCCTTACAAAGACCTCTCCCACCCCAGCACTTCTGCCAGCTGCTCTGCCCTGGGATGTATGCCTTCCTGCCATTTCTAGTCCCAGGCACCCTCCTGTCTCAGGGGTTTTGCACATGCCATTCCTTCTACCTAGAACATTCTTCCCAGAGAGCCACACAGCTCATCCCTCACTACCTACCAGTCTTTGCTCCAGTGTCACCTTTCAACAAGGCCTTCCCTGATTTATTTAAAAGGACCACACTGCCCACCCTCCCTACCCACCCCTCTGTATCTTCTTCTTGTGCACTTATCACCATCTGAGTGCTGCAGATGTTAATTAATCATGCATCCATTTATTTGATTCTCACCTCCCTATTTCTCATAGAATGTAAGCTCCATGCGGGCAGGAACTTGTGTTTGTCTTGCTCATCACTGTATCCTGGTGCCTACAACAGTGCCTGACACATATTAGGCACTGGATAAGCATTTGTTGAAAACAGGAAATGAAATCAGTAAATTGAAAGCTTAAAAGAGGCCAGAAAAGGTCAATTTCAGGTTTCCTCTGTCATATCAGATTGAGTATAAAAAATTAACACCAAGACAAAAGTATGCCAAATGGCAGGGTCTTTATTGCCGGCGGCCACGGAGGACTCATGTTTCTCCAACCTGTGGCCCCGAACTCAGGGAAAGCAGGGTTTTTAAGCTGAAAAACCACATCCTGGTTTTAGGACCAAGAGGGTGAGGGGATGCAGGGCAAGCAACTTTACAGAAGCTTATCCTGGCAGTTACTGATAAGCAGAGGCAGGCAGCTCTACACAGTGGGCATTTTTCAGAGCAAGCTGTTTTTATTTACAGAAGCCAAGGTCAGCGGTTACTGCAAGGAGAATGGGGCCGCAGTTACAACTTATTTTTGGAAAAACAGCTTTATTTTGTATAAAACGGCGTTGCCTAGGTTTTAACTCTAGGCCAGCTATAGCACATTCCCCCCTATTTTTATGTACATTGAATTAAATCATTAAGATTCTTGTACTGGGAGGGGCTGTTCAGTTTGGTACAAGGGCTTATATTGGGATCTGAGGACCTTTAGTTTTACAGAGTTGATTTTTGACTGGATTATCTTGAGTAATTGGTTTAGGAGGCAAGGTCCAATTGTAAGTCTTAGTGTAAGTAGGATTAGAGGTCCCGTTACTGCAGTAAGCAGGGAAGTAAAGCCATGGGGACCAGGGGAACAATTTTTGATACCGCTTTTTTGAGGCTTCCTGGAACCGTTTTCTGGTTTTTAAATTTTGTCTGAGGAGCGACTGTCCCGGATAAGGCCTGGCTTATTAGCATAAACACAGCATTGCTTATTAAGGGCAGCGCAGTCCTCCCTGTTTAAGGAATAGTAAATTTAAGTCTCCCCTGTTTTGGAGCACTGTTTTAGCCAGAGAGTTTACCCGGTCTGTAAGCTGGGATCTAGAATTTTCTAAATGGCTTATATCAGTATTTACATGTTGGGACAGGACTTTGAACTTTTGGTTTCCAGTTACAAAGGCTGAGATACTTAGTGCTGTAGACCCGGCTATTCCAAGCCCTACGAATAGGGGTATGACTATGGGGACCCGTTTCTATTGGGTAGTTGAGTCAGAGGGGGCCAGGAGGGTAAATCCTTGCTGGCTGTTGTAAATGTTTACACGGGGCAAGATGTATATATATAGACGTGCAGAGTATGGGAGTAGAGAAATTGTTGAATTGGGAGGTGGAGATACAGTTTGAGCCTAAAAGTGCAGGCCAGCCAGGGTGAGTTTGGGGACGTACAGTAAATATTCGTTCCGTTGTAACTTAGGGGAAGAATCTTATGACACAAGCATTTGTAAGGGGAACTGGTGAGGCTGTAATTAGGGGAATGGTAACAGTCACCCTTTCCCTTGAGACTTCCTGAAGTTATGTGGAGTATTTTTCCAGAGCATGGAGTGTTAGATGGGGCTAAGCCTGTATAAAAGGGTGGTTGGGGTTTACACATAACCAACAACCTACACCTAAATCTGGGTTGGATTGGTTAAGTAGATGGTGGATGGAGGACAATAAATTAGAGGTTTAGGCTCTCTACAGATAAAGCTAGGCCACTGGGGGCTGACTGAAGGGGGTGACAGTGGGGAGAAAGGGGCCTCCTGAGTTGGGGGGGTGACAGCAGCAAGGGAAGGGGATATTGGGGGTGGTATGATTCCTGTGTTTGGCCCTATAGGGCAGTTGGGTCAGGGCAAAGTTATGTGTTGGATAGTGAAAATATCACCCTTGTCCCAACTGCTTATGTAACTCTGAGTCCCCAAGTCCGCCTGGTGCTTCACCTGTTGTCTGGGGTTTTTACAGTTATACGGAGTGGGTTACATGCCCCCATACAACAGGGGGAAGGGGGTGTCTGACGCTTAAGGGACATAAAAGAGTTGTTTTGTTTTATGAACCCCGATACAGTTGAGATTGTTACGCAACCCCAGTGCGGGCAAAGCAATTTATTTAAGTTTTCACAATTTCACTTTGTGGTGTTGACCCAGGGCATGAGTATAGCCCTTTGTTTTGGAGCTGTTGTTCTGCCTTTTGGCTACTGCACCCTGAGGCAAACCCCCCGTCCTGATAATCTGTCCCCCAACTGATCCGACATCCAGGTTTTTTCCTAGGAGGACGCAAAGGTCCACGGAGAAAGTTGTAGGTTGGCTCAGATAGTACATAAAGGTTGGGTTGACAGTGGTGTTTTTTCGTGCTGTTAAGGGACTAACATATTGTCCAGTGGAGCCCACAGTGAGGGTCCAGTGATAGTACGTGGGGTCTAAGGGGGGTCATTTATCTGAATTGACAGAACAGATTAGGAAGGTGAGGGTGGTGACCCCGAAGAGCACACGTCTTATTTTTAGTGAATTGGGGGAAGAGGGGTTTACGCTTTATTGTCCTTCCGGCGGCGCGGTCTTGACGTGGGTGTGGTGAATTCAGGCTGTTAGTCCGTTCACTTTGAGTGCGGTGGGGGTGGTTAGAATGACTGTGTAGGGTTCTTTCCAATGAGGGGTGAGGCTGGAGGTGGTGAATTTTTTAACAAAGACTGAGTCTCCTGGCTGGAAGGGGTGCGCCGGCTGGGCATTGAGGTTCACGGGAGTGGGATGAGTGTTTCTGATGAGCCGGTGCACCTGGGATTGAACAGACTGGAATGCCTGTAAGGACTTAAGGAGTGTATGGTTATGGACCTCAGCATGTATGGTATCTGCAGGTCTGGGGAGTGAGGGAGGGGGTCTTCCAAACTTAATTTTAAAGAGGGAGAAGCCTTTTTGGTAGGGGGTGCATCAGACACGGAGGAGGAGAAAAGGAAGCAGGCTGACCCCGTTGTTACCACTGTCTAGCATGAACTTTGTCAGAGTCTCCTTTATGGTCTGCTTCATTCTCTTAACCTGCCCTAAACTCTGGGGGTGACAGGCACAGAGTAGTTTTCAAGATATGCCCAGGGCCTTAGCCAGGACCTGAGAAACTTGTGCTGTAAACGCAGGGCCATTATCCGATTCCAGAGTCGGGCAAGCTGAGCCGAGGAACCAGGTCCTGTAACAGCTGTTTTGCTACTACCAGTGCGGTTTCAGACCTAGTAGGGAAAGCCTCGACCCATCCAGAGGTGTCTGTGGACACAAGGAGGCATGGATAGCCGCACGCTGGGGGCTTTCTTTCAGTAAGTTTACTTCCCAGTGTTCCCCTGGGCTAGTACCCCTAAGTCTTATCCCTGCCTGACTAGACCTACTGCCTCCTGGATTTACCCTGGCACATGTGTGACACTGAGTTGTAGTTTCCCTGACAAATTCTGGAGATGGGAATGTGGTATTTGGCCCCCACCAGCTCAGTCAGTTTTGTCTGTCCTAAGTGAGTGGCCTGGTGTGTGGTCTTAACTAGAGCCCGTCCTAGAGCCTCGGGGAGCACAATCCTTGTGTCTGGTAGAGTCCACCATCCTGTGGAATTTTGCGTGCCCCCGTTCTTTTTCTTTTTCTTTTTTCTTTTTTTTTTTTTTGAGACGGAGTTTCGCTCGTTACCCAGGTTGGAATGCAATGGAGCGATCTCGGCTCACCGCAACCTCCGCCTCCTGGGTTCAGGCAATTCTCCTGCCTCAGCCTCCCAAGGAGCTGGGATTACAGGCACGCGCCACCATGTCCAGCTAATTTTTTGTATTTTTAGTAGAGACGGGGTTTCACCATGTTGACCAGGTTGGTCTCGATCTCTCGACCTCGTGATCCACCCGCCTCAGCCTCCCAAAGTGCTGGGATTACAGGCTTGAGCCACCGCGCCCGGCCACCCCCCTGTTCTTTAGCAAAGTTTTCTTCATCAGGTGAGTATGTAGGGGTAGGGGGCAGGGTTGGGGCCGGCAGAGTTACAAGAAGAGTCAGAGGTTGTACTGGCCCCAAGGCTGCCTGTCTGGCTTGTAGGCCGGCCGCCCTATTTCCCCTCGCCTCTGGTGAGTTTCCTTTCTGGTGTCCTTTGCAGGGTATTAATGCCACTGCGTTGGGCTTCCACATAACCTCTAGTAGGGCTGGGATTTCTTCTTTATTTTTGATGGTTTTTCCCTCTGAGGTAAGTAGTCCTCTTTCTTTATAAATGGCTCCATGTACATGAGCCGTAGCAGAGGCATACCGGCTATCCGTGTAGATGTTAAGTTTTTCCCTCCACCCAGTCCAAGGCCTTTGTCAGAGCTATGAGTTTTGCCTTTTGGGCTGAGGTTCCATGTGGAAGAGCCTGGGCCCAGACAACCCGCTCTCGGGTGACCACGGCTGCTCCGGCACACCTTACTCCGTTGACCTGAAACTGCTGCCGTCCGTATACAGTACCTCCTCAGGGTTCTGCAGGGGGATGTCGGTGAGGTCCGGCTGAGCAGCCTGGAGGACATTCATTGTCTGTTGGCAATCATGTATGGGCTTCTCCGGCTCGCTGTCTGGTAGCAGCGTGGCGGGGTTTAAAACCAGCTTTTAAAAGCCTTATGCGGGGCTGGTCTAAAAGTAAGGCCTGATACTGAACTATGCGGGCATTAGACACCGATTTTACCGGAGCTCCACGGAGAAGTGACCTCACCGCGTGAAGTGCCACTAAGTTTAACTCCTGCCCCAAAGTTAGTTTGTTTGCCTTCTTGACTAACAGGGCTGTAGCTGCCACTGACCTCAGACAAGCTGGCCACCCAGAGGCTACGGGATTAAGTCTTTTTGAAAGGTAGGCGACTGGCCAGGACTGTGGTTCTAATGTTTGGGTGAGTACCCCGTTAGCGACTCTCTGTTTTTTATGCACAAATAACCGGAAGGGTTTAGAGATGTCTGGCAAGGCCAAGGCTGGGGCTGTAGTTAGGGCAGTTCTGAGTTTGTCAAAAGCCTTTTGCTTTATTTCTGCCCAAGTTAAAGGCTGATTTCTTCCAGTGCGGGCGTACGGGGCTTGGCTATCTCAGCAGATTCTAAAATCCATAGCCTCCAGTACCCTACCACCCCAAGGAATACTCGAACTTGGCGTTTCGAGGTGGCGGTGGGTATTTGCAGCACTGCTTGGACTCGGTTAGGTGCCAGTGCCCGGTTACCCTTTTTTACAATATAGCATAGGTAAGTAAGTTTAGGTTGGCAGAGTTGGGCCTTTTTAGCTGAGACCCAGTACCCCAAAGTCTGTAGGGTTTTTATTAATGACTGGGTGGTCTCTTTACAGGCCTCCTGGGTTTTTGTAGCCAAGAGTAAGTCATCCACATGTTGGAGTAGGGTACACTCCGGGAACTCAGCTCGGAAGGTGGCAAGGTCTTAGCTAAGTGCCTTATTAAACAGAGTCGGGGGGGTTTTGAACTCCTGAGGCAGTCTTGTCCAAGTGAGTTGCCCCAAGACCCCAGTATTGGGGTCAGTCCATTCAAAAGCAAATATGGGCTGGCTAACAGGAGCTAGTGGGATGCAAAAGAATGCATTCTTGAGATCCAGGACAGTGTAATGGTGGTGGTCTGGGCCCGAGACCTAGGAGGGTGTACGGATTTGGAACCGTAGGGCGGACAGTTTCCACTCGTTTACCTCCCTTAAGTCCTGTACAGGCCAATAGTCCTTTGTGCCTGGTTTTAAGGCAGGGCGTAAGGGGGTATTCCCGGGGTACTTAACAGGTAGTAAGGAGCCCTCCTTTTAGGAGTCTGGTTATATGTGGAGCAGTTCCCCGTCTGGCTTCCTGGCTCATGGGATATTGTCGTAACCTGGACTGGAGTTGCCGTTGCCAATAGCTGGACCACGACTGGGGAACGGCGACTTGCCAAGCCTGGGGAATTTGTCTCAGCCCACACTCTGGGTACATTTTCTTGGAACTTGCAGAGGAGGTTTGATGGTGGTTGATCTGCCTTTGAGGCAGATCTCTTGCTTCCTGCAAGAGATACTCGTCTGACAGAGCACAGGTGATGAGGATTTTCTGAGGTGGCCCTGATGCCAAGGGAGGAGGAATTGAGAGGCAAGCCTCACCCTCACCGAAAGAAATGTTTGCTTGAAGTTTGTGAAGTAAATCTCATCCTAGGTGTGGGTATGGACACTCTGGAATAACTAAAAAGGAGTGGGTGACAGTACCGTTCCCCAGATCAATGAATCGGTTGGTGGTCCAAGGACTTGTCGTAGTTTTTCCTGTGGCCCCCTGAATAATTGTTCTTCTACTGGATAGTGGTCCCAGAGGCTAAGGACTGAGTGGGCTGCCCTGGTGTAGACTAAGAAGCTGACAGGTGTGCTCCCAATCTTTAAAGTGACCCTGGGCTCTTAGGGGCTTAATAAGAGCCCTGGCCCCATCGATCCTGGCTTTCTAAATTGAGAATGGCCCTTGGTGGCTTTCCTTGTGCTGTTTCTCGCTGCCTTCTCTCCGGGCACTCCCTCCTCCAGTGACCTTCTTGTCGGCAGTACGTGCACTGGTTGTGTCCTAGCTTGGGCCGGGGACCCCAGGGGCTCCCCTGCGAGGTTCCCTCTCCCCGTGGGATAACTCGGGTTTCCCGAAGAGCTGCTGTTACCACTTCAGTAACTCTTATATCCTGTGTATAGCTGCCGAAGGGTTTCTATTGTTAAAGACCTTCCGGGCAATTTCCAGCAATTGGATCAAATTCATTCCCTGGAATCCCTCTAACCTCTGTAACTTTTTTTTGATATCTAGGGCTGACTGGGAAACGAAAGCCAGATTGATGTCCCGCTGATTTTCTGGAGCCTCAGGGTCAATAGGAGTGTAGGTGCGATAAATGTCTCATAGACACTCAAGGAAGGCAGCCGGCGACTCTCGCGGACCGAGTTACAGTTCCCACCTTGGAGAGGTTAGTGGGCTTGCGGGCCACTCCCCTAACCCCTTCTAGTAGGTACCGGTGAAAATTGTTTAAAGCCTGTAGACCCGCCAAGGTGTTTGGATCCCACTGGGGTCGGAATAGAAGGGAAAATCTTATTAATTTGTTCCTGGCGGTCCTCCGTCGAGCCTCCCCCTGTTCCGATGATGGCCTTATGGGCCTCCTGTCTAACGCTGCTCCTCTCTTCTGTAGTAAACAGTATAGGAGCAATTGTTGACAGTTATCCCAGGTAGGCGGTGAGTTTGTAAAATAGACTCCAGGAGCCCTGTGAGTGCCTGGGGCTTTCAGAAAATGGAGGGTGTTGAGCCTTTTAATTGTATAAATCACTAGAGAAGAAGGGGATGTGGACAAAGAAGGGGCACCCCAGCTACTGTTTTCCACTGGGGACGCCTCCCAAAGGGGTAATACCCTGGGCGGGTGTGGAGCCCTGCTATGGTGTGGAGTGGGGACAAGGGCTGGCTACTGGTGTTGTCTGGAGAGGGGAGCTGGGACCCCTGTCCAGAGGGTGTAAGGGTTGGCTGCCAGTACTGTCTGGAGCGGGGTGCCGGGACCCCTGTCCAGAGGGTGTAAGGGAAGGTGGAGGTAACTCGATCCTCTGCTGAGGCGGGAGAATGGCGGGTGCTGGAGGGACCTTTTTTGGGCCGGCTAACAACCTGAAGTCCGGCCTGTTTTATGCAGCATTTCAGCCATGGAGGGGGTCGTTGGACTACATCCAACCACTGGTCAATGCATGGAAACTGATGAGGGTGTCCAGGCGTTCCTGCGACCATTTTCCATACTACCTGGGTAATTCTGGGGTCGTAGGTCCCAGTGTCAGGCCACCCAACTCCAAAAGACAGCCATTCTAGTTCACATAAAAAGCGGAGTTTTTCAGGGGTTCATTTCACCCCATATTGGCCTGAAAACCCAACCTTGAAGTTGGCCATCATACATTGGAGGGTGGTGCAAGGCCGGGAGCTAGACGACCCCATTTGGCTTTTTTTTTTTTTTGAGGGCCTGGAAATGGTTTAACTATGATTTTTAGATAGAAAAGTTCTGCTGTAGAGAGAGCCAATTCTTAGCAAGACAAATTATACTAAACACAAAGTCCTATAGCTTTCAGCTTCTGAATTTTTCCAAGAGGTTTATTTAAGACTGGCGCCGCTGAGGATTTGAACCAGCAACCTTGCAGTTGCAGGCTTTATCCCTTTTCTACTATGCCGACAGGCCACTCGCAGTAAGGGCGAACAGAAAGCTTTCTTAAGTTGTATCTTGGATGCAAATCTTGCAACGTGAGGTGGTGTGGCCTGCGTGAAAGCCGGGTAGGACTGGCAGCTGGCAGAGGAAGGGGAAAAAAAATGCTTTTCCTGTCAGTTTAAAACTAACAGCCGCTGGGCCAGCTGCGAGTTTCTTGCCCCTGCGGCTTTTGTTCGCCTTGATACAGGGACCCTAAAAGACATTAAATTCTTTCCCTCTTCTGTCTACTTTCTCTCTCTGTCTGTCTTTTGTACGAGCCAGGGGAACAGGTGGAAGGGGCCAAGAGTGAAAATAGGATTCCCCTAAGAAGCCCCAGAGGGGCCGGTAACAGGCCTTGTATAGGGTTAGTGCCGCTCGGGCGTGGTCTTCTCTTAAATGGCACCTGGCATCTAGTGGCCTTGGGAAAGCTGGAAAATGGCAAAACAAATGAACTAGGAGGTCCACAGGGTGTGAATTTTATATCCATCAGCGTAGAGATGGCAAGAGATTTGCCAGTTTGTTCTTAGTAAGCCGTGACACCCACCTCCCGGCAGTTAGGCTGGTGCTGAAAAACTGAATGGGGTGGGCTTCAGAGCACTGGCCATGACAACACTTAATGTCCTTTTGACAGAACAGACAGTTCTTTTGTTTCCACCCCCACCAGCTAAGAAGAGTTGGCACTTTTCTGTCTAGGAGTTGATTTCCCAGGACAGAGAAAAAACTACACCCAAGTCGTAGCAGGCAGAATTTTCTTTTGGACATTAAAAAAGGGAAGGAGTGTCCTGAAAAGGTTGAGGGGAGGAGTAGTAGGTGGCTGGTGAGGGGAAAGGAAATTATACCCAACACGGGCAGAACTACTCCTATCCTGGAGGGGGTGGCTGAGAGAACCTACAATGAGAGGCCACAATGATTATAATAAATAGAGCAAAAAGAGACAGGGCTAGAATCAGAGGAAGTGAGGCCTCAGTAGTAGAAGAACAGAAGGAAGGAGAACAGAGTTACTTCTAGGGACATTAATTAAGCAACGGTCCCCTGCAGCCAGTGATGTTACCCACTGTAGAATATCTTCCACTCCAAGGGAAACAGGTCTAAAGCACTGTATATCAGCCAACAGGAGTCTAACAAAACTGGTAAATTTACAGTAAGGACAGAACCACATACAGGATTGACAAATGATGGGTGCTCCCAGATGGGAGACCAGTCTGATGCCTGCCCGGCCACATCCCCGGAGGGATATTTTAGGTCGTCTTGGCTAAGGTGTACCCGTATAAACCCCGGGCCTGGTCACCTCAGAATTTTTAGTTCTGAGATGAATCACCGTTATGCCTTATGACGCTCCCGTGGAACCGCGGGTGAAGGCCCTCACAAGTCCCGTAGCCTACTGGCCGTGGGACTACACATATACACACTCTTTCTCACACTCACACAGAGGTTACGGAAAACCACCAAAAACTAATACCAGAGCCTCCGCACAATCAGAGGTTACAGAAATACCGGGAGCCTCGGGCGACGTCTCGGGGAGGCTTGCCTGGTCAGAGTTGCAGTGACCACATCCGGTCCCCTGACTTGGGCTACGGATACAGATGGACCAGTCCCAATTTCAGACCCAGAACAGACTTACCTCCGGAGGTTTCCAGGACCCTGAAGGAATTTGGGTTGAATGTCGGCCGAGCAGTCACTTGTCCACCATGGAGCTGAACTCTGGGGCCCTGGAACATCATTAGGGGGCGCCTCCCCTAGAAATCCCCGAGGTGGAAGTGGCCTCCTGGGCGAAGTTCCAAGGGCTTTTGTCTAGGTGATGGAGGAATGTAAATAAAATCTCGCTGGGGCATCCAAAATGTAATATCAGATTGAGTATGAAAAATTAATACCAAGACAAAAGTATGCCAAATGGCAGGGTCTTTATTGCCAGCAGCCACAGAGGACTCATGTCTCTCTGACCCATGGCTGTGAGCTCAGGGAAAGCAGGGTTTTTAAGCTGAAAAACCACATCCTGGTTTTAGGACCAAGAGGGTGAGGGGATGCAGGGCAAGCAACTTTACAGAAGATTATCCTGGCAGTTACTGATAAGCAGAGGCAGGCAGCTCTACACAGTGGGCATTTTTCAGAGCAAGCTGTTTTTATTTACAGAAGCCAAGGTCAGCGGTTACAACTTATTTTTGGAAAAACAGCTTTATCTTGTATAAAGTGGCGTTGCTTAGGTTCTAACTCTAGGCCAGCTATAGCACACCTCAAATCCAGTTTCCATTACTGTCCCTAACTGTGGAGAATTTTAGCTGACCCAGTGACCTGGCTCCTGCGGGTACAAGATGGCTAGATATAGCACTGAGCATACCAGGCAGCAGCGGTAGCTCCTCTTTGTCTGTGAATGCCTGCCCTGCTGCTAGCCCCTACTCACAGATGTGAGGCTCACTGTTCCCAGGGGAGCATTTTGGAACCAGCTCGGATGAAAAGAGTTTTCTATGGATAGCTCTTGTAGTCAGGTGCACAGCAGCAGGCTCCTGTCCTCACGCCATGAGGTCACTGTAGACGTGGACCATTCCAGAGAATCCTTTGTAATCAGTGTTCAGCTGTCTCCCAGTCCTTCCCAGTTCAGCACGGGTGGCAGCAGATGGCCAAGCCCAGGGAAAGTCCACCTGACCATTGGACTCTCCTAGAGTCAGCAGAGCAAGGCTGCAGAGGAGGAGGAGCATGTCACAAACACTAACCAGCACAGGGCGGGCTGACTTTGTTGACAAATCTGGAAGCAGCAGGGCAAGAGAGCCAAGGCCCCTGGGTATCCCCCTTGGCCACTGGTGGGGGTGCACTGAAAGGTCAGAGCTTTGACACCACAGAGCCAAACAACACACACCTCTTTGGGCCTAGGCCCCTGCCAGATGATTTTCACAACTACCTAACCTTGGCGTTTACTTCTAGGTCCTTTGGCCAAATGTGTTTTCTTCTAAGAGTTGTTGGCAAAATACTGTTACAAGTTTCTTATGGGACCTTTGTCCTACTGTGGCCTGGTTAAAGGCTTTGTCCTTCTCTTTAATCCTCTTTGGTGGTTTTGCTGTCATTTCTCTTGACGCCATATTTTCAGGTCCCTTGCAGGAGGGGGCATCAGGTCTCCATCATCACGCCCTCTCTGCAGCTGTCCAGCCGGCAGTGACTGGGCCCACACATGTGCATTCCTGTGCTTGAATTGCCAAACAAAGTGTCCCTTTCATTGCTGCTCAAACAGCCTGGTGGCCTGCTTCTGCCAGCACCAGGGGAGGGAGAGTGTGCTTCCCAAGGGCCTGCCCCCTAGGTCCATGCAAATATTCTCCATGGCAGGTGTCCGTGGAGTTCTCCCAGGCCCTATCAGCTGTCCAGCTCTTTGCACACATTCTTCCCGCTTGTGGGAATGAAATCCAAACACCTGATACGGAATGATGACTTGGCAGCAGGGAGTGGGGCTGCTTGTCTCCAGTAACTTAGGACCAAAACTAGGAAGTTTACCGTGCACATGTGTTGGAGATCAGCCGTGGCCTCGAGCCCCAGTACAGAGGCCAGCCTCACCTCTGACAGAGCCAGTCACCATTCAGCTGGAGCCTGTCTTCCCTGGGCGCCCAGGTGGGAAACTCTGGGCTATTAGTCCTACAAGTACAGGTGCTGTTAGGCACGAGAAGCAGGCTTACCTGGGTCCACAGAAACACCAAGCTCCTTAGTGATCTGTTACTCCATTCGCCATCACCTTTGAGAATTTCGCCCTGTTTTAACTAAGAATTGTTGAAGTTAATTATAACAAGGACCATCCTCCCCACCCCCGTATCTGCTTTGTTCCTTTAAACATGCATTTGGCCTAATGAAATCAGTGAATGTTCCATTCTTGTCTTTTTGATCTTTCGATGACGTATGTTGCTTTATTTCTCCCATTTGTTTAATTACTGTGGGCAAAGGAAAATATTAAGGCAAAAATAGGTCATCAGTCATGTTCCTCCAGCTGTGCAGAGCCCCTTTCTACCTGCAGGTGTTCATTCCAATTCAATGCCAATATCCTTTTTCAATCTGGTCCATTCTTGGAGAAGAAACCCATCGTAAGAGCTGTCGTCTGTGGTTGGGGTATTACTTTGTAAAGTATTAAAGCACTAAAGCAATTTTTTGCAATATGTAGTAAATCTTGCTTTCATTTTGGAAAACTTCCAGTAATGACTACTGCACTTTTTATAGAACTGTATTTAATTTCTTTCTTTTATGAAAGATTATTTCAAGTAAAAATAGCTCTGTAATCTGTGTGACACAGCCTCTCCATTACCTGACACAGAGAGAAGCTTTGATGCCTACTCAATAAAATTAACATGTTTATTAAGTATTGCTCGGTCCAATTATTTGCCCACTGACTCCTGTGTTCTTGGTAAAACAGCATCTAAGAAACGCTTTATTGCCAAGAGGAAGACGACTATATCAGCATCCATCCATACCAGTTTTATTTTGTTTGAGTGTTTTCCCAGCCAGATGAGATGTAATTTCAGTTATCCAGTTTCTTTTTTTCTAGCTCTCTGTTACCCAGGCAGCAGCATGACCTTGGCTCACTGCAACGTCCGCCTCCCAGGTTCAAGCAATTCTCCTGCCTCAGCCTCCTGAGTAGGTGGGATTACAGGTGCACACCATGCCCAGCTAAATTTTTTTCGGTATTTTTAGAGAGAGAGTTCACCATGTTGGCCAGGCTTGTTTCAAACTCCTGACCTCAAGTGATCCACCCTCCTTGGCCTCTCAAACTGCTAGGATTATGGGCACAAGCCACCATCCCAGCCAAGTTTCATTCATATAAGAGGAAAATAGTGTCTCCTTTTTAAAATGACCAAGACACTTTCTATCTAGATGAAAGCTGTATTTAGTTCATTGTCACACTGCTGATAAAGACAGACCTAAGACTAAATAATTTCTAAAGAAAAAGAGATTTAATGGACTCACGGTTCCACGTGGCTGGGAAGGCCTCACAATCATGGCGGAAGATGAAAGGCACGTCTTACATGGTGGCAGACGAGAGAATGAGAGCCAAGCAAAAGGGGAAACCTGTTATAAAACCCTCAGATCTCATGAGATTTATTACCGAGAGAACAGTTTGGGGAAACTGCCTCCATGATTCAATTCTCTCCCACCAGTTCCCGCCCACAACACATAGGTATAATGGGGGCTACAATTCAAGATGAGATTTGGGTGGGGGAACAGCCAAACCCTATCAAAAGCTGAATAGGGTTGTCCTTAACATGTTTTCACCAGAGGTTGCAATCGTAAGCAAGAGGATGGCTGCTGGGAGCATAGAGGAGGAGGATTTTGCTGTGAATTTTTATCTGAGTGCTCTTTTATGGAGGAGAGGCACTGCCTCGGTAAAAGAAAAAAAGATGCCCCCTCAGGAGGCTGTCAGTGGGGTCCAGGGCTGCAGGCCTGCTTCAGCAGATGTGGTGTGCCCAGGACTCAGTCCCAGCCCATTGTGTGCCATGCACTGGGACAGCGATGGAGGTGGTGATGACAGTGCCTCACACACTGCATGGGCATCACGGGGGGTGGCACATTTTGTGCATAGTGGTTGTTGCACTCCATGCAACAACCCTGTGAGATAGCAAAATCTCTGGGTGGTAGACAAGAAAAGTAAGGTTTGGCGAAGTAAATCATAAAGCCAGGATTCCAGCTCAGGTGTGTCTGACATGAGTCTGTGCTCCCCGCATCAGAACACACGGTCATCCCAAGGAATGGACAAAGCCCCTGCCCAGGAGGAGCTCACAGTCGGGGAAGGTGACATACAAGTCCATCTGGCTCCAGGTGGGGGGTGAGTTAGCACAGATGGGAGAAGAGGAAAGATGCCTGGTGGGGCTGTGGGACTGGCTGGAGCAATGGCCACTACCTACCCAAAGAATCCTGGTTAAGACCAATGGAACCATCCGTTTCTGGATCCAATGTTTTTCTACACAAGGAAACAGGAAACTGTTCTAAGTTTGTGCAGGACAGGCAGAGAATCCCTTATGAAAGGCAAAATCCTGCATTTGAAGCTTTAAAAAGTGCCTGGAAGACCCTATAGGGTGGTGCTGGAGCCCTGGATTGGGAGACAGAGTCTGGCCCCAAAACTGACCTTGAGAAAAGCATCACTCCACCAGCCCCAGGTTTGTGTTCTGTAAAACGACGGACTCGAGAAAAGGCTCTTGAGGTTTCCCCACCCAATCAAGGAATCTGAGTATTATTTAGGAAAACAGAAGTCACCCCAGTTATTTTAACAGAGAATTTAACGTGGGCAACTAGTCAAGCAGGCATCGGAAGCCTAAAAAACACAAAAAGGAGACATAGAGGTCCGCAGAGAGAGAACCTACAGGAAGCAGCTCCCTCACAGGGTCAGGTGCAAAGCAAAGGGCGCGTTGTTAAAATCCACAGGCAGAGAAGGCGGGGCTCCGCAGCGTTGAGCTCAGACCTTTGAAAAGGGAGCTCTTCCCAGCTGGTGCCTGTGCCTCAGGAGGCCAGAGTGGGAGGCTCATGGCGCTAGGCTCAGATCTCCAGGGAGGGTTGCTGGTGTCTCAGTAGGGGATGTGATTTGGCCGCTTCTCCAAGGTCGGGGGGGAAAACAGAATTGAAACAAACTGCAGCTAGCAAGTGAAGAGCTGTTGCCAAGACAACACAGAGAAACTAGAAGCAAAAGGAAAGAGCAAGTCCCTGTGTGTCCTGACCCACCTACACACATGCATGTATATGCACATATGCATGTATGTATGTACACATATGTGTGTATACATGCACACCGAGCAAGAAGGAAGACAGGCAAATATGCTTCCCTGCTGCAGGCCCTGGCTGCAGGGACTGAAGCTGGCCAGCTCCACTGACAGTCGAAACTCCCTTCTTCCATAACCACTTCATGTTGGCGTTGCTCTTGGGCAGATCTCAGCTTTTGGGGATTCTTTACCTGATGGGTGATCCAAACTCTCATTCCTGTAGATTCTGAGTCCTCACAAGTCCTTTCGTTGGATGCCATCATTTACCATTAACTTAGTTTTGGATAACTAAAGGCACCCTGGAGAGTTCCCTACATTTCATACATCATTTCTTGGCCCCCATTATATAGGAACAACTCGATTTTTCCTTGATAACACTTTCAGTCACTCAGCCAGTAGAATAACGACCTTCTTTGCATTGATTCAGTAGCTCAGAAGCCCACAATGGCCAGGTCCCAGCTCTGGGTTCAACGAAATCACTGCGCTGCCTGCTGGGAAGCCCTCCTCCCTGGGGAAGCAGGAACTACAAAGCAGAGACGTGCTAAGGTGTGGGGCAGGGGAGGTACGATTCTTGGTTACGAGGCTTCGTAGTGACAAGAGCTACTCACACGCCCACCTCTTGATTCCCAGACCGTGTGTTCCGGCCATGGGACCACCATATGGCAGACCATATGGCAGTTGCTGATTCAAATCCCAAACTCCATCTGTAAGGTAGAACTCCGACCTTTCGGGGAGCTGTCTCCCTGCTGGCATTCTAACGGCATCTTCGGTAGGCAGGACCACGGCTCTATCAGGCCAGCTGCTTCTGGGTCAGTGGGATGTGGAGCAAGTGAGGTCACTGTGCATGATCTCACTGCTGTACAACTGAAATTCTTCATCAGAAGCAACACTGTGTAGAATACCACAGCGATGAATAAGGCATTCTTTAAGTCCATGATAGTGGCTTTTGATAGCAGCATTGCAGACAGGGAAAGCAAATCTGAATTCAGGGCACACCTATTCCAGTGAGAGAACATTGTTTTTCCTTATGAAGGGGTCCAGCTGGCCAAGAGGAATCTGCCCGGCCCTCCTGGGAATGCACCATAGGGGAGGTTGTCAGAAGGTCACTCCAGCAGAGCAGTGGTGGCCTCCAGGCTGGCCTTAGCAAGACGAAATTCATGTCATTTGTGCCCATTCACAGCCTCCATCCCTGCAATCATGGCCCTGGGCACACTGAATAAACATCAGGATGGCCGGTGGGAGGGTCAGCTAGCATCACAGAGCATGCTCTCTTGTCCACCCGAATCTCAAAGACCCCTCTGCACAGGGAGCTCCTGGCGAACATATAAATATCTTCAGTCTCTTTACACCACCTTCTGAGCGATCCATCCACGTACCTCTCCCCACCTTCCTATACGTGCATCTGTCACTGACCATGCTTCCTTTTCACCAGTTTTGGAATCCTGTTCTTTCCAAGACCCCGAACATCTAGTCAAACTATTTTCCCCTGCTCATGAATCAGTGTAAGGCATGGTTTCTCAACAGTGGCATTATTGACATTCGGGACCAGATCGTTCTTTGTCTTGGGCCAGTCCTGTGTGCGTGGTTAAGAGGCTCAGCAGCATCCCTGACTGTGATGGTTAGTTGTATGTGTCGACTTGGCTGGATTAAGGGATGCTCCATCCTCTGGGACAATTTCCCTTCCCCGCCATCTTCCAAGGACACTCCAGAGCTCCCAGGGCCCACTCTCAGCCGGTACTCACATATCCCAGACAACCATCTGAAGGCAGGTCTCAGCCATCTGGTCATGGGAGTTTGTGTGAGCCACAGACATAGACTGAGAGAGGAGGCAATCGGGAGTGCATCTTACAGGGGTCTCAGCCCCCTGCTGACACACTGACCCGTGCCTGCTGGACTTTCTCCAGCACATCCCCTCACACCACATCTTAATTTGAGACAGATTGCAGCTTCATGTGCAATCACATGCAGGTGGGGTGGGAGCTCCCTGGCTGCAGCTACGGCCTTCCCAGGTGCAGGACCGGGAATCTCTGCAGCCTGGACCCTCGGCCCCCATCCCCCACCCCTGATGTCTGCTTCCACTGCCCGGCCCTTCCCTTCTCCAGCACCTGCTCCAATCTCGAAGCTGGGTTGAGGCCAGGCCATGGGGCCATGAATGGCAGCGTAGGGCCTGGGCAGAAGTAGGGGAGGTCCCTATGAGGCCCCACCTTCAGGCCAGGGAGGGCCTGAAGGCTGGGAGATGGGCTGCCAATCCCGTGGACCAGGGTGGGGCCTCTTGGCACCTCCTCTGGCCTGCCATAGCCACCCATGGACCAGTCAGCCTGTACTTCCTCCCTCTGAGGTCCATAACAGCCCTGGGCTCAGCCAGAGCAGGGCAGAGGACAGTCAACCAGAGGACAGGGAGAGGGTGGAGAGAAGATGGGATGGCCAGCTGCAGAGAGGAGCTACTCTCATCTTCCCTGAGCTGTTCTAACACTAAAGTTCTTTGTCTTCGTCACCCTTCCCTTCCCGAGTGCTTCATTCTTCCCAGATGCAGGACAAGAACTCGGACAAACACGCCAGGGAGGTTTCTGGGAAGAAAATCAACACCCCAAAGATCCAAAAACAAAGGCTCCTGATGTACCTGCCACTCCCAGCCCATCAGCACCAGTCAGCATAGTGTTAACGGTGTGGCCTGCTATGGTTTTCCATGGCATCTCTGCGGATGCCATCATGGCAGAGAGAGCAGGAAAACTGGCATAACCCTGAGGCAAAGTGGGAAGGGGTGCTGTGGGCACCCTAAACAGAGCAGATTGTTTCTGGTGTCCTTAGAAATTGACATAAAGAGCCAACTCTCAGTGCCGTGAGGCTGCAACTGTGACTCCAATGAAGAAGCTTCAGGCCAGGCGCCATGACTCATACCTGCCATCCCAGCGCTTTGGAAGGCGGAGGCAAGCGGATCACCTGAGATCAGGAGTTTGAGACCAGCCTGGCCAACATGGTGAAACCCCATCTCTACTAAAAATATAAAAATTAGCCGGGCATGGTAGCACACACCTGTAATCCCAGCTACTTGGGAGGCTGAGGGAGGAGAATCGCTGGAAACAGGAGGCAGAGGTTGCAGTGAGCCCAGATCGCACCACTGCACTCCAGCTCAGGCGACTCTGTCTCAGAAAAAAAAAGGAAGCTTCATCCAGAACGGCAGCAATTGGAGTCACCAGCTGGTCACCTTCATTCTGATGCACTCTTTCCTCATGACCTGTCCTCAGTAGAGGTCAAGCAGGCCAGGGAAGCAGGGACGTAATAGGAACGACCACCCTGAAATCTCTCCAGTAGCTGAGAGTGGCACTAATCTCTGTAACTCCCCTAGGATGTGGGGTTTGTTACTTTTGATTTACTATTGACATAGGGAGAGAAAATTCCAAGACTTTCCCTTTCTTTCCACTTCCTACCAAGATGGCATTGGCTCCACCGCAGAAGAGCCAATGTGGGGCTTCCGTGGGTGCTCTGCCGGTTGCTGAGCGAAACTATTTCAACTATACTTAAGAAGTGGGGGACATAAACCCCCGGAGAATCCACAGACACTGTCCCATGGAAATTCACACGTGGGACCTATCATCTGACCTCCTTAAGCCCCACTTGACTGCTGGGCCATGGTAGTGTCTTAAAGTCCCCAAAAGTGTTGACATCTCAGAGCCAGTGCCAAGTAATCCCCGGATTATCAAGGCATTCCCTTACCCTGCGGTAATTCAGGAGGCGACATTTGTCAGAACAAGCCATTTTGCTCCAGGGCTCAATCACCCTAGAGAAAAGCCAGAGGCTCCTGGGAAAAGCCCGAGGTTTGCAACATGCATCTGGGGTAACACAGCCAGCCTCTTCCCCAGCGGACCTGGCTCACATTTAATCAAGGCACTCCATGCCTGTCAGGTGGCTCTGAATTACTTCATCTGGAAAGCCTGATGCATGGCTGTGACGCTATCTAATGTGGCTACTGAAGAAATTTCGCCTTCAATCTGCAGGGTTTTCCAATGAAATTAATTCTACTGAGGTCTATTTTATACACAGTGAAATACAGAAATATCGAAGTATAGTAGGATGAATTTTGGCAAACACATCCCCCAGTTCGTCACAGCCAAGAGACGGAATATTGCCACCACCCATGAGAGCCTCCTGCCCTTCCCACTGCCCCAGAGCAGCTATTGCACAGGTGTGCTCACTTTAGATTTATTCTGTCCTTAAGTCTCATGCAAATGGAATCGCAGCCTGCGCTGTTTCTAGTCCATTTCCATTTGCTCAGCCTGAGGTTTCTGAGACCCGTCCCGATTGCTGTGGGTTTCAGCAGTTTGTAATGTTTTTATTGATGAAGAGGCTCCTGCTGCATGGCTACCCCACCATTTGGGTGTTTGTTTTCTTGCTAATGGACGTTTGGGTCGTTTCCAGTTTGCGAATAAAGCCGCCATGAACATTTGTGAGCATTTGGTAGACACAGGCTTTCATTACTTCTGGACAGATACATAAAGTGGGCGGGGTGCACTGGCTCATGACTGTAGTCCCGACGCTTTGGGAAGCCAAGGCAGGTGGACCGCCTGAGCTCAGCAGTTCGAGACCACTCTGGGCAACACAGTGAAACCCCATCTCTACTAAAATACAAAAAATTAGCCAGGCATGGTGGCTGGTGCCTGTAATCCCATGTACTTGGGAGTCTGAGGCACAAGAATCGCTTGAGCCCCAGAGGCAGAGGTTGCAGTGAGCGCTACTACACTCCAGCTTGGGCTACAAAGTGAGACTTTGTTTCCAAAAAAAAAAAAAAACCACATAGAGTAAAATCGCTGAGTCACGGGATGAGAAATTGCCAGTGATCCAAACAGGTTGTGTGGCTCTCCATTCTGATAGCAAATGGATTCAGTTACCTGGGACAGGAGCACACCAGGTCCATTTTCCTGGTGCACATCCAATAGTCCCCACAGCCGTACCTGGAGCAGCCCAGTGGCTGTCTGCTCCTTGAACACAGGGTTTTACACATCTGAGTTAGGCACATGCACGGAGCACAGAATCCCGCCATGCCCGATGGTGTGTTTGCACAGGTGTGGGCCATGTGTCCCTCCTCCCAGGAGCCTCCCCTGTCTCATGCCTCCCTATGGCTGCTCCCTTCCTCTTGGAGGCTGAGCTCACATTAGGCCGTCTATCCTGCTCAGCCTCACCTGTGCCTCCTCTCCTCCCTCAGGTGTTTGGTTCCTGGGTGCCAGGATCTTGATATGCCTCTGTGCCCTTGAAGGCTCAGTCAATGGTGTGATTAGTACCCTTCCCCTCGGTGCAAAGAGAAGTCTTCCTCTGCATTCAGATGAGCTGGGCAAGCAGCCTCAGCCCAGGCATGCCCTTTGCCCAGAGAACAGAGGTAACTCCCTGCCATGCAATTCTCAGGGAGTGTCTGGGAGCGCCCTGGGTGAAGCTCCACAAAGCAGGACGGCTCAGCTCTGCACCAGGCAGGGACAGCCCAGGAAGGAAAATTTCTCAGGGAGGTGAGGGTTGCACAGGGCCCTGATCTACTCAGCGAAGGGGACAAAGAGGAATCCCAGCAGATAGGACACGGACTCCTTCCACAAACACCTGGGCACTGCTTTGTGCTGGGCTCACCAAGTGTTGCAGATGTGCCCAGGAATAACACAGCCCAGTGTCCTCCCTTAGTGGTACAGAAAGTAGGAAAGTTAGCATAGGAGCTGCTGTGACAAGAAGGAACAGGGACAGTAAGAGCCAAGGCAGTGGCCACTTTCCCCTGAGGCTTGGGGCTCCTGCAGTGGGCCCAGGGCTGTCCTGACACAGCCTGGCCACTGTCACAGGCCTGATGGGGACAATCACCATTGCCGCTTTGTGGACAGAGGCTCAGAGGGGATAAGATCATCTGGGGTCACACAGGGAGGAAGGAGCCGAGCCAGGCTGCAGGGTAGCTTGGCCAAGTCCATAAATCTGCACTTGTCCTGGACATGCCCGCAGAGGGACAGGAAGCCGGAAGTGACGAGGGGCCATGCATCAGCAGCTGGTGGTACTGGCCAGCCCTGAGGCCATCAGAGCTAGGTGGGGACCATCCTCCCGGGCCCCTCCATGTCCACCCTCTTGTTACAAACAGTGCAGGGACCATGAAAGGAAGGAAATGTGACCAGAGCAGTTCTCACCCCCACCATGCTTCACTGCAGGAGGCAGCATGGCCCTCCTGCACCCAGGTCTGTCCCTGCCTCCCTGCACTTAGAGCTGGGCAGCATGAGGCCACTGATGACACCCACTGTGCCATCTCACTCTCCTCCATGGACTCTGTCTCGACAAAGTCCCGACATGCATCAGTTCCAGAGCTGTGCTCTGTGTTTCTGACTTTCCAGGTTTCCATAACTCATCCTGGAGCTTTCTGGGGGGTGGATGAGGGTGTCTGAGCCACATGTCCCCTCCTCTGATGAGCTCAGCAGCCCTTGCCTGAGCACTTCTGCAGCAGGAAGGAAGGAGGAGTTCTGCAGGAGAAGAGGCAGGAGCCCAGGCCCGTCTGCTCTCAGCCTCCCAGGACCAGCAGGAGCACCTGAGAGGCTGGTTCATGGGTAGGAACCAGCGAGCCATGTATTTCCTGCCAGTCCAAGGAACAGCTGCTATCAGAGTTCTCACGTTTGCAGAAAATGCGTTGCCCTAAGCAGTGAGGTGAGAGCTGGACACCTGCACAGCGACCACCTGGAAGAAGGGATCCCTGGTTGGCCACGTGCTGTGTCCACATCAGGGTTTTTCATGTTTTATTCTTTTCACCCAGGAGAAGAAGCAAGCTGCCTGTGTCCAAACAAGGACTTATTTCTCCTTTCAAATCTAGTATCTTCACCAGGTGGTGAATTTTGTAGTTCGAGATTTCACTGCAGTTTTTGATCAACAATCCATCATCTGAAATCCAGACCTACTTGTGCTACACCCAACAGGAATAAAATTGGAAGGTCGGGCCTAATGCTTTGTTGATTATCAAATAAAGCCCAGCGGTTCCTTCTCCTTGGTCACCAGCAAGCAGTTGGAGGGACACGCCCAAACCATAAGTTTCCTACCGGAAAATAGAAATGAGCAATGATACTGTTTTGGAAAAACTCAGTCGTGTTTTTCCTCTGCTCTCACGCCACCGCAACCATCACCCCCAGAACACTTCTGTGACCAAAGGTGTGGAGGCTTCTCCCACATACCAGGCAGCAGACACCAGCCGGGTGTCCTCCAGTTCAATTCCCATGCTGTCTACCTGGGAAGGGGGCACATCCTCCCTCAGGGCTGCCCTGCTCCCAGACACCAGGCACAAGTCCAGGCCTGGAACTTCTGACCGACCAGCTTCAGGTTAGGGTTCCCTCAGCCCGGGCTTTGGGTTCTATTAATTTGTTGGAACAGCTCACAGAACTCAGAAACGCATTTGCTAGTTTATTAAAAGGCTATTTCAAAGAGGACAGATGAAGAGATGCGTAGGGTGAAATCAGGGGAAGGGGCGCAGAGTGTCCATGCCCTCCCTGGGCACCACCCTCCGGGAACCTGCACGTGTTCAGCTCTCGGGAAGCTCCGGAACCCAGTCCTCTTGGTTTTGGTGGCGGCTCCATGCCATCACCATTCCTTCCCTCAAGGTATAGGGCAGGACTCCCTCTGGAGAGGGTCTGAAGACCCACAGTCAGAAAGGTGCAGGAGGAATAGAGTCCTGCCTTAGGGCAGGTGAAAGAAGGTCGGAAGACCAGAGAGATTCTGTTTTTCTAAAGCACCCAACGTTCTAACAAAAGACCCTAACACAGGCTATGGGAGTTACAAGCCAGGAACCGCAGACAAAAACCTGTATCCATCATAACACCACAGATAGCAAACACATCATGTTCAAAAGCAACTTCCTTAAGAATAATCAACTTCACTAGATTCTTTTTTGTACCATGTTTTTAAAAATCCTTTTCTAAGAGCCTCAGCATTGCTACCATGAGAAGAATTTCTACCCAAGAGAGATGGAATCCAATCCCATCCCCTGGAGGAAAATGCTTTAAAAGTGGTTTTGATGGTCTGGGGATGAGGGCTCATTTGAGTCTGTTTTATGGCTCCTCCCCCAAGCTCCTGAAATAAACTCAGGGCGCTTTCCTGCTCTGTCCATGCTGATAATTATTCCCGGCACACATGTTGCTATTCTGGTCCGCCATGCAGCAGGTGCTCTGTGGCCAAGGCACCCACCTTTTTAGGGGTTCCTAGGCCCATCAGGCTGAAGGGCAAACGGCAAAGGACAATGAGGGAGGAGGGGGCAGAGGGCCCTGGGCAGAACCTAGCTGTGCTCTGGAATGCTGTGTGCATGTCGCTATCCAAAGGCTTTAAGGTAAGACTTTGAATTCTCTTCTGCATTTCCCTTCCAAGCATTTAGGAAATGAATCTGTCACTGTCACCCTGACTTTGAACTCCTGAGATGGCATTCTATAATGGCATTCAAAAACATACATGATAAAATGGTGGAAATACTTTTTTTTAATTTGAACATTCATGTATTATGAATAAATTTTCTGGAAAAAGAGAAGCAAGCCCTAAGAGGGGTGCATGCAGGTCAGGAAGGAGGTGAGTCAGCGGGTACGCCAGGGCCCCCTCGAGCTCCTCTGGGGTGCTGCACACGAATACCAGCAGCACAGACAGAGCACCAGGGTATGTGGGCCACCTCTGGGCATGACGGAGGCATCTGACAGCCATCACCGACGCTCACCCGGGCATGGCCGCATGGTCTAAGAAGAGTGTTGGCAGACTTCTGAGTTAGGGAATCCAGGAGTGGCTGATTTGGAGACTCACTCCTTATCTGTGAAGGACATCCAAACCCCTGGCCCATCCTTGGAATGCAGACTGTACAGGGGCTAGGAGCCCTTTGTTCTGGGTTAAATAGAGGTTGCTAGGCGGAGGGTGCTAAGTGAAAATGCTACATCAACTATCTGCTTTTTACAAAGGGTAGCAATCTTCTTGTCTACTCTGCTGCCACTGGGCTGCCTGGTATGGAAGTCTCCCAATAAACCCTAGATCTCATTTGCTGGCTCCAGCTTTCAGACATGGTGCCAGCCTTACTGGAGTCAGTAGGGATCTGGCACACACCCCAAGAATGTCCTTCAGATTCAGTTCATGGATCTGTCTCAGAAATGGGTCTCAGTGGCCCAGAGTGAAGAACAAGCCCACACCCCAAGTCTATAGTGGAGAGTCAGCTCAGGGGCCAATGATCTGGTGGAAGGGCTTACCCAAGAGAGGAACAGGGATCTCCACTGCCAGGAGAGATGAATAAAGTCATCTGAAACAACCTACTTCATCTGTCCACCCATCAATCCAGCCAACTAACAAAACTGCTCAAAACATGAGAAACATCTGCTAAAGATAGAAGATTGACAAGGTTATAAAGAATGACCTTGTTTACGACTGCTTTTAGTCTACAGGTGACTGCTGTTGCTGAAAGAGTGACAAAGAAACATGAAGATCTTTTGTAGGGCTAAGGAGACAAAAAGCAGAATTCAAGGCCCATCAAGAACAGAAACACTAGCTGGGGCCGGGTGCAATGGCTCACACCTGTAATCCCAACACGTGGGAGACCAAGACAGGCAGATCACTTGAGGTCAAGAGTTTGAGACCATCCTGGACAATATGGTGAAACCCTGTCGCTACTAAAAATACAAAAAAATTAGCTGGGTGCAGTGTGGGGCACATGTAATCCCAGCTACTTAGGAGCCTGAGGCAGGAGAATCACTTGAACCCAGGAGGCAGGTGGGGGGGGGTCACCCTTTGGGTGGGGATACCAAAAGATTGCCTTCTTGGAGAAAACAAGAAAATTAACCCTCATGAGGGCTACAGCCTGGCTTCAGTCATCAGTGTGGCTCAGAGACCTCAATTCCTGAGCTGTATGAAAGAGAATGTTTGTGCTACGAACCTGCCGGAAGCAAATCTCTGTTAAAAAAAAAAAAAAAAAGCTACGAATAATAACATTGTCCTATGCTTCAAAGTATTTTTATAAACACTTTTGCCTATATAATATGAAAGAGAACCAGGCATTTAAGAAGACAAATCAACACAAATGAAAACTAGCAGAAACAACAGGCAGTAGAAACCGACCCACACAACCCCAAGTAGTGAGGACAGCACATGTAGACTTTTAACTAGCTATGCTTACTCCTTTCAGAAAGATAAAACACATGATTCAGAATTCTGGTGTTTTTTTTAATAGCCTAAGTAGGAAGAAGCCAGAACCAAAAGATTCTGTATCATATGACACCATTCATATGACATTGTGCAAAAGACAACACTGTGAGGACAGAAAACACATCAGGAGTTATGAGATTTGGGGAATCAGGAGGTGGCCATTATAAAGGGGATGCACAGGGCAATTTTTAGGATGACGGAGATACTCTGTCTGCTACTGGAATAGCAGCTACAGGTATCTCTGTATTGGTCAAAACCCATAGAGCTGTACACATTACAAAGAGTTCACTTTTAATGCATGCAAATTACAAAACCTCAACCACTAGGTTGGGGAATCCCAGGATGGAACACAGACTGTGAGAAGACACTCACTGATAGATAAACCTGACTCCGTGATGGGGCGGAAAGAGGAGCTGGCCTAAGGAAGTTGGGAAAGGGGCATTCTGACCGGAAACACCTGAAGACAAAGGTCGCTGTATTCTCCTTAGCACATGCATTCAAGTGAGAGCAGGCTAATGATTGCGAAGCTTCCACGAAGGCACACTGGGCTTGAACAAACAGGCGAAGGCATGCTGCGTGGCGAGAGCCAGTGTCTCCCTGTGGGGAGCGTGGAGGGGCTTATGGATCAACAGCAGGAGTGAGAATGAGTCCTGCCGGGCTGGCCTTGATCTCAGACATCAGTGTGAATCCAGGCCTGGGTCAGTGGACAAACAGAGGGACAGAGAGAAAGCACTAAAGGCACAGGATATAGTGTGGTTTGGATGTGAGCCCCAGTGTCTGCAGCTGTCTCATGAATAGCTTGGTGCTCTCCTCACTGTGATGAGTGAGTGAGTTCGTGCTGTTAGTCCACACAAGGGCTGGTTGTCAAAAAGAGCCTAGGCAGGGTGCATTGGCTCACGCCTGTAATCCCAGCACTTTGGGCCTGAGGCAGGCGAATCACCTGAGGTCAGGAGTTCAAGACCAGCCTGGCCAACGTGGTGAAACCCCGTCGCTACTAAAAATACAAAAAATTAGCTGGGTGCGGTGCAGGGCGCCTGTAATCCCAGCTACTTGGGAGGCTGAGGCAGAAGAATCACTTGAATCCGGGAGGCAGAGGTTGTAGTGAGCTGATATCACACCACTGCACTCCAGCCTGGGCAACAAGAGCAAAACTCCATCTCAAAAAAAAAAAAAAAGGCAGAAGAAGAAAGGAAGGAGGAGGAGGAGGAGGAAGGAGGAAGAAGGAAGAAAGAAGAAGAAAAGATCCTGACACCCCTTCCCCATCTCTTGCTCCTTCTGTTGCATGTGACACACCAGCTCCCACTTCTCCTTCCACCATGACTGAAAGCTTCTCGCTGAAACAGATGCTGGCTCCAGGCCTGCACAGCCTGTAGAACCATGAGCCTAATAAACCTTTTCTCTTTATAAATTACCCAGCCTCAGGTATTCCTTTCTGGCAATGCAAATACACTAACATGGTATACAAATGGGTGAGTTCACATACAAACGTGTCCTAGCTCTGTCCACTGAGAGAGGCTAGAGTAGCAGCTCTCCAGTGGCCAGGAGAATAGCCAGCACCCAGATCTTGGGCTCTATACCATTTTCCAATTAAAGAAAACAGGATCCAGCCGGGCATGGTGGCTCACGCCCGTAATCCAAGCACTTTGCAGGCCAAGGCGGGTGGATCACCTGAGATCGGGAGTTCAAGACCAGCCTGATCAACATGGTGAAACCCCATCTTTTAAAAAAAGAAAAAGAAAAAAGAAAACAGAATCCCTGGAGAAATGGCTGATTCTGGAGCACAGCAGCTGGGGTAGCAGCTGGCCACACTTTTGCCTCTCTGGCTCCAAGAAGAAATCCAGGAAAGTCTCTGCTCCCCTTCAGCCTGAGTTGGAGAAGACCCCCAGGGTTGCCCTGGGTCTAGCTGGAGCTCATTTGGTCATGCTTCAACTCAAATCCATCCCTAAAAAGCCAGTGACACCAATCACCTGTGCTGCCATCAGAGAGACTTTGACAAGATGGGACTAGACCTGCCCTGAGGCCCCCTAACCTGGCAAATCCCCCACCCCCTTCACCACAGCCTGCAGGGTCCTAAAGCCAGCTAGGCCTACTCTACATAGGTCACCAGGTCAACTCATGGGACAAAGCTTTGCATGAAGTGACCATTGGTTTTCTTCCTCCACAGTTGCACCTGGAATCTCTGCCCACAAAAGCTAAGGGGGAGAAAATGGCCAGTCCAGGTGTCTCACAGTTGCAGGCAGAGATCCTGGCGGGCCCCCTCTGTAACCAGAAGGCACCATGTGGGGGTCCCCCTTTTCTCTTGGGGCACCTCCACCTCCACCGATAGCTGCCTGTGCCCCTGCAGCAGGCAGGGCAGGGTCACACTCTTAGCTCCAGCCCAGCTTCTTGGGCCAAGGCTGCTGTGGGCTGGGCTGTGCAGCACAAGAGTCTGGGTTTGTCTGGAATCCACAGTGAATAAAAAGGACATTCCCAAGTGGCTCATGAAAATGACTTGTAAAGAGCAGGGAGAAAATAGATCATCTTAAGGAAAAAGCAAAGCCCCTAATCCACACTTCCTTCCCAGGCTCACTTTCTCCCAAAGAGATGTTTTTATAAAGTCATGAATGGATTTTAAACACATATAATAGAAGTAGAGTAAAAGCGAGCTTAAAGGAGATGAAGTGCTGATTTAGTTAAAACAGAGTGATTCAGAGAACTGGGGTCCGGACATCCATTCCCAAGGAGCCTGCAGTGTGCCACATGTCCCTCCGGACACCCAAGCACACATGGGCATGCATGAGGATATTCTGTGAGTGCTCTGTACATGTGGGGCATGCATGAGGATATTCTGTGAGTGCTCTGTACATGTGGGAGCATGCTGTGCACTCGTCCAAGTATCCTGACCACAGAATCCTGCTTTCTGGAAGACACATGCCATTGTGTGAATGGGTGATACTTAAGTCATCCTGTTTGGTGGGCATCAGATGTTTCCTGACTTTTGATGCAAACACTGCTTCTGTGAACACATCTGTCACTGTCTTTACTCAACTGTGAGCACGTTTGCAGGATAAAATCCTACAGAAGAAATCAGAGGCACATGTGTGCAAACACAGTTTGAGTGAGGTTGCTGGTGCCATGGGGAGTCGAGATGAGCAGAGCCCAGCAAGGGGTCCGAGCTGAAACTGGCCAGACACCAGCCACAAGGCCTCGGACCTCAGCCACACTCCCCGGGGGGCACCAAAGGCCACTCCAGCATGCCATGACGACTGGATGAGTGCCCGGCAGTCAGCACCACTGCTCAATAACCATTGCTTGGAGATTTTTCCCAGGGAACTTGAGGAGTCCACCTGGACTCAGAACGTAATATCAAATACAGCTCATATCCACAAGGCTTGGTTCCGGGACTCCCCAAGGATACCAAACTCCATGAGTGCATAAGTCTCTGGTATAAAATGGCCTACTATTAGCATATAAAATAAACATATCCTCCCATATACTTGGAATCATTAAATTACTTATGCAATGTAAATACTAATGTAAATGCTAGGTAAATATTTATTATACTGTATTGTATCGGGAATAATGACAAAGAAAAAAAGTTCAATACAAACATAACCATCTTCTTTTTTGTAAAAAAAAAAAAAAAAAAAAAAAAGCATTTTCTATCTGCAGTTGGTTGAACGCATGGCTGTGGAACTCACTAATATGGAGGGCCAACAGTATCAACCTCCAGAACCACTCCTTCAAAGGATCTTGTACTTGACTGACTCCCTCTGTAGAGCAATTTAATCCCAAGGGCATTGGGATTAAACAGCATAATCAGCCAGCAATCACCGGGGCTTAAAGCTAGGTGCGGTCAGGGAAAGAGACATTCAGAGAGGGACTGCCAAAACCTCGGCCATCACTGTGACCTGGGATCCAGCACTGCCTGAAGAAGCATTATCAAATGTTCAACACCAGGGGGAGTAGATTTCACTTAAACAATCCAGCCATTCACTAAAAAATAAACAAGTAAATAGCAAGCCCTTTGAGGAAAATGAAGATGAGCGCCCAGCAACCCAAGTTGCTACAATATATTATCTATTATCTAAAATATCAGCAAAAAAATACTGAAACATGCTAAGAAACAGGAAAGCATAATCTGTACACCAGAAAAATGTCAAGAGAAAGTTCCTGTGAGAGTAACTCGATGTCAGATTTTTTTAAATAAATTCTATTTGTCTATATTTGAGATTTACAGCATGGTGTTATGAGATATGTATACACAGAAAAATGGTTACAATAGTGAAACAGATTAACACAGCCATCATCTCCCATAGCTATTTTGTGACAAGAGCAGTTAAATAGGTGTCAGATTTAACAAAGACTTTAAAGTGGCCATTAAAATATGTTCGAAGAACTAAAGAAAACCATGACCCAAGAAGTAAAGTGTGAAGACAGTATCACATCAAATAGGAAATATCAACAAACAGAGATAAATTATTCTTTAAATGAAGATACTGGAATTAGAAAGTACAGTCATGGAAATAAATTTCACTAGAGGGACTCAACGGCCGATTAAAACTGGCAGAAGAAAGGATTCGTTACCTTAAAGATAGATCACCAGAGAGTATGCAAGTCAAAGAGCAGAGAGAAAAATGAACAGAGCTTCCGGGATAGACGAGACACCATCAAGCGTGCTAGCGCACACATCATGAGAGTACCAGGAGAGGAGAGAGAAGGAAGAATATTCAAAGAAATCATGACTATAACATTTCTAAGTTTGATTGAAAAACAATATACATCCAGGAAGCTCAACCAACTCCAAGTAGGATAACCACAGAGAACCACAAAGAGTGAAATGTACTTTATCTCAAATAGTCAACGTGCTGGTGGGGGAAAGCTGAAAGTCAAAAACAAGTAGACAATTTTGAAAACCTAAAAATAAACAAAGAAAAAAAACTTGTCCCTTCCAAAAGAATTCACATAAGATTCACAGCTGAATTCTCATCAGAAAAAAAAAAAAATGGTGGCCAGAAAGCACTGGAATCACATATTCAAAATGCTCAAAAAGGCGGGGCACGGTGGCTCACACCTGTAATCCCAGCACTTTCAGAGGCTAAGGTGAGCAGATCACCTGAGGTCAGGACTTCAAGAGCAGCCTGGCCAACATGGTGAAACCCTACTAAAAATACAAAACTTAGCCTGTAATCCCAGCTACTGGGGAAGCCGAGTCAGGAGAATCACTTGAACCCAGGAGATGGAGATTGCAATGAGCCGAGATCATGCGCCACTGCACTCCAGCCTGGGAAATCTTTGCTGTTCTGCAGCCTCTACTACAAGCAGGGTCTGTAGTAGACCTCCAGCAAACTCCAGCAGACCTACAGCAGAGCGGCCAGTTAGAAGGAAAACTAATAAACAGAAAGAAATAGCTTGATTATCAACAGAAAGTCTGTCCATTCAGAGAACCTATCCAAAAGTCACCAACTTCAGACCAAAGGTAGATAAATCTATGAAGATGGGAAGAAACCAACACAAAAAGGCTGAAATCACCAAAAACCAGAACACCTCTTCTCCAAGGGCTCACAACCCCTCACCAGCAAAGGAACAACACTGGATAGAGAATGAGTTTGACAAATTGACAGAAACAGGCTTCGGAAGGTGGGTAATAAAATTCTCCAAGCTAAAGGAGCATGTTCTAACCCAATGCAAGGAAACTAAGAACCTTGAAAACAGGCTAGATGAAAGGCTAACTAGAATAATCAGCATAGAGAAGAACATAAACGACTTGATGGAGGTAAAAAACACAGCACGAGGACTTTGTGAAGCATATACAAGTTTCAATAGCCGAATCAATCAATTGGAAGAAAGGATATCAGAGATTGAAGATCAACTCAATGAAATAAAGCACAAAAGCAAGATTAGAGAAAAAAGAGTGAAAAGAAATAACAAAGCCTCCAGAAACTACGGGATTATGTGAAAAAGACCAAATCTACATTTGATAGGTATACCTGAATGTGATGGGGAGAATGAAACCAAGTTGGAAAATACTCTTCAGGATATTATCCAGGAGAACTTCCCCAACCTAACATGGCAGGCCAACATTCAAATACAGGAAGTGCAGAGACCACCACAAAGATATTCCTCGAGAAGAGCAACCCCAAGGCATATAATTGTCAGATTCACCAGGGTTGACATTAAGGAAAAAATGCTAAGGACAGCCACAGAGAAAGGCTGGGTTAATCACAAAGGGAAGCCCATCAGACTCACAGCAGATCTCTCAGCAGAAACCCTACAAGCCAGAAGAGAGTGGGGGCCAATATTCAACATTCTTATAGAAAAGAATTTTTAAGCTGGAATTTCATATCCAGCCAAATTAAGTTTCATAAGTGAAGGAAAAATAAAACCCTTTACAGACAAGTAACTGCTGAGAGATTTTATTACTGTCAAGCCTGCCTTATAAGAGCCCCTGAAGGAAGCACTAAACATGGAAAGAAACAACCTGTACCAGCCACTGCAAAAACATGCCAAATTATAAAGACCACCAAGACTATGAATAAACTGCACCAACTAACAGGCAGAACAACCAGCTAGCATAAAAAAGACAGGATCAAATTCACACATAACAATATTAACCTCAAATGTAAATGGGCTAAATGTCCCAGTCAAAAGATACAGACTGGTGACGTGGATAAAGAGTCAAGACCATCAGTGTGCTATATTCAGGAGACCCATCTCATGTGCAAAGACACACTTAGGCTCAAAATAAAGGGATGGAGGAAGATTCACCAAGCAAATGGAGAGAAAAAAAAAAACCAGGAGTTGCAATCCTAGTCTTTGATAAAATGGACTTTAAACCAATAAAGATCAAAAGAGACAAAGAAGAGTATTACTGGTAAAGGGATCACTGCAACAAGAGCTAATGATCCTAAATATATATGCACCCAATACATCACACACTGGGGCCAGTCAGGGAGTGGGGGGCTAGGGGAGGGATAGCAGCGGGGGTGGGAATGGATGCAGCAAACCCCCACCATGGCACATGTACACCTATGTAACAAACCTGCATGTTCTGCACATGTACCCCAGAACTTAAAGTATAATAAAAAATAAATAAATAAATCAGCATGAAACAATGTGACAAAAATAACACCAAAGGTATTAGTTACAGTGACAAATGTGGGTAGTTCAAATACCTCTATAATAAGACAAACTTGGTTTACTAAACTCAAAAAACGGTATCCAACTATCTGCTGCTTATAAGTGACACAATTAAAATAGAGTGAGGCGTGCAATGTGAGTTCACAAAGGCAAGAAACATGTCTCCTCCATGGCACTCTGCAAAGCCCAATTCTGAGACAACACGTGGCATACGTATAGGAGATGCTCATTATGGATTTGCTAACAAAAGCAAAGGAATGGGCGAAAATGTCCTAGGTCAATTGCAAACCAGCAAGTGAAAAGAGCAGATGTCACATTTAAAAAAAAAAAGTTTTAGGCTGGGCATGGTGGCTCATGTCTGTAATCCAAGCACTTTGGAGGCCAAGGCGGGTGGATCACCTGAGGTCGGGAGTTCAAGACCAGCCTAACCAACATGGTGAAACCCTGTCTTTAAAAAAAAGTTTATAGGCTGGGCGTGGTGGCTCAAGCCTGTAATCCCAGCACTTTGGGAGGCCGAGGCGGGTGGATCACGAGGTCAAGAGATCGAGACCATCCTGGTCAACAAGGTGAAACCCCGTCTCTACTAAAAATACAAAAAAATTAGCTGGGCATGGTGGTGCGTGCCTGTAATCCCAGCTACTCAAGAGGCTGAGGCAGGAGAATTGCCTGAACCCAGGAGGCAGAGGTTGCGGTGAGCAGAGATCGCGCTATTGCACTCTAGCCTGGGTAACAAGAGCGAAACTGTCTCAAAAAAAAAAAAAAGTTTATTAAAAAAAGTTTCACAGAAGGTAGAATCTAAAACAAAAACTATGAAAATAAGCCAAAGGAGGTCATTTTATTTTTCTAAAGGATCTAAATCATGAAATGACAAATTGCACAATACTTCCTACATGGGAAATATTCCACTAAAATGTAATAAAAGAAAACTTTAAAAATACAAGGGTAAATTGACAAAAATGTAATTGCACTGGGAGGCTTTACTGTATCTCTTATGATTTTTGATAGAGGCAGCAGATCAAGAATCCACAGGCATATGAAGACCTTGAATAATATAATCAATATTGCTAATGAAGTCAATCCCTGCCACCCCACCCTCCTCCCAACACTCACAAATGTTTCTTCACAGACATCAGTTGTCACATGAATGCTTTCTTTTTTTAAAAGGAGCAGGCCGGGTGCCGTGGTGCATGCCTCTAATAGAAGCACTTTGGGAGGCTGAGTGGGCGGATCACCTGAGGTCAGGAGTTCAAGACCAGCCTGAGCAACATGGAGAAATCCTGTCTCTACTAGAAATACAAAATTAGCTGGGTGTGGTGGCGCATGCCTGTAATCCCAGCTACTCCGGAGGCTGAGGCAGGAAAACTGCTTAAACCCAGGTGTCGGAGGTTGCAGTGAGCTGAGATAAAGCCATTGCACTCTACTCTGGGCCACAGAGACTCTGTCTCAAAAAAAAAAAGGCCGGGAGCGGTGGCTCACGACTGTAATCCCAGCACTTTGGGAGGCCGAGGCGGGTGGATCACAAGGTCAAGAGATCGAGACCATCCTGGTCAACATGGTGAAACCCCGTCTCTACTAAAAATACAAAAAAAAATTAGCTGGGCATGGTGGCACGTGCCTGTAATCCCAGGTACTCAGGAGGCTGAGGCAGGAGAATTGCCTCAACCCAGGAGGCGGAGGTTGTGGTGAGCCGAGATCGCGCCATTGCACTCCAGCCTGGGTAACAAGTGCGAAACTCCGTCTCAAAAAAAAAAAAAAAAAGAAAAGAGAAATGTCAGCTCACAAGAAAAACAAAACTGCATTTACTTAAGACAGGACTGATGAGTAAAATCACCCAGCGAAACTTAAGGACATTGCCACGGCCTGTTTTTATTACTAAGCAAGAAGAAATGAAGAGGCATGGAATGTGTTTTAAAAGACACAAGTCGGGACAAAAACAAAAGTTGTAAGTGATTTACATGAGGAAAAAAACCCTAGTCTTGATAAATAACATGAAGAGCTGCTCTGGGAAGAGAATGGTCCCCAGCGGGCACCGGGTGGGGGAACTAGGATCCCCGCCCAGCCGCTGACATCAGCTGAGTCTCTCTCAACAGCTCCCTGTCTTCCTCCACCTGCTGGATGACTGTACATCAGAACGTCACAGAGAAGCCTATGGCACCCAACTCCACCCTCTTCCTACCTAAAGTAACTGCTTTGTAATTTTGCATGACTTGGGTGGAGCTGTTTATTCTTTGTGGGTCTCAGCCTCCTGATCCACACCCCCTCCAGCATTAGGGTGCAGAAGTATCAAACTCGATGTGGCTCTCTGGGTCCTGGCAGTCAGCTTCCTCCAAGCCTCAGTGGCCCTGGACGGAGATTGGTTTTTGTCATGGAAAACCATCTCCTCAGAGCAGGGTCTTTGAAACAGTTCAGCCAGCCAACCCTGCCCAATTTGCAGATTCAGGACTGAAGTAAGTGTGGACATTGTCGAGCCACTAGGTTTCCAGGTGGTTTGGCACACAGCCACAGTGACTGCGAAAGTGCACCAAGGAAGAAATGAAGGAAAAGCAAGTGTGAAGTCAGAGGCGGAGAGACGATGCCTTAGACTGACAGGTGTTCTACATCAATGTAAGAGGTTGGTGTTGGGTAGGAATGGATAGATCCTCGCGGGTCTGTGGTCAGGATAAAGGCCCTGAACGCAAACTGCTCCGCAAAGTCCCCGGACACAGTAGGCCCTCAAGATGCAAACAGTGGCTACCATCCTTGTAAGGCCAGTTGCCTCGCTGGGAGGCCGGACACACCCACCTCTGCACTCAGCACCTGACTCTGCACCTGGCACCAAGCTCTGCACTCCTCACCTAGCTCTGCCACGTGGCCCCCTTGGAAGGCTCCAGCTAATGCAACCCTGGCCGGCTCTTCCACCGGAAAACCCGCCCAACCACCTGCCAACCAATAGCGGCCCGCCCCGTCTCAATCCTGCTCCCCTGGACCCAGTCAGAGCACCCAGCTATGCTCGTTCCTCCTAGCCATAAAAACCACCACCACTCCCACCACCCCCAGCCCCTACCCCGCCCCAGGAAGTCAGTGCAACTTCTCTGGCGCCTTTCTCCAGACCATAGAACCTCGCCTGGGAGCTGAATCAACTGGCATTTCATTTTCTTACACTGGCCTCAGTTTCCTCATTTTAAACTACAGTCGTCATCCTCACACCACCAGCAGCGGCCCTTCTTCCAGTACTGGCAAGGCCGTACTCAAGCTAGTGGCATTCATGTGAATTAGCTACCCGGTCCCCGTAGCCACGTAAACATATCAAGAGGGCCCGTGCGCGGTGGCTCACGTCTGAATCCCAGCACTTAGGGAGGTGAAGCAGTAGGATAGCTTGAGCCCAGGTGCTCAAGGCCAGCCTGGGATACATAGTGAGACCCCTCTCTACCTAAAAAAACAACAAAATAAACAAAACCTGTTGTGGCGGTCCCAGCCTGTGGTCCCAGCTACCCAGGAGACTGAGGAAGGCGGCTTGCTTGAGCCCAGGAGGTCCGAGGCTGCAGGAGCCGAGGTCGCCATACTGCACTCCTCCAGAGCGAGACCCTGTCTCAGAAGAATAATAAAGACATTAAGGGCGTTCTGGGGCCAACAAATCGTCCCCACTACTGCCCGTTGCTTTTCTTTTCATTCATGCGCCTCTTTTTAAATTAAAGGACTTTGCAACCTGGTGTCCAGCCAGGGTCCCGATTTAAATCTAGGTTCTGGGGAAGCTGAGGCCGGGTGGGTTGTGGGCAGTGGTGCGGCGCAGCGCGGAGGCCGCGTGGACAGGGTCCTGGGAGCGGCCACGGGGCGGGTCCGCAGGCGCAGCCCGCGCTCCCGGGTCACCCTGACCTCCAAGCCACAGGACTCCGTCTCGCGCTTTCCGCTGGCTCCGCTGGGGCGGTGCCGCGACAGCGAAGGACCCGAGGGTCAGCGTAGGCCGCCGCCTCCAGCTGCCTGCCTGGCAGCCATACAGGCCACAGCAGGGGCGTCTGCACAGCGTCCCCCGGCACTCCAACCCTTCCCCCCACCGACCTACCCCCACGAAAGCCTGGGGCGGGGCAGCTTAGTTACCTTAGTCCGGTGACTCGGGTGGGTGACCCGAAGCCTCCACAGTTCCGCTAACTCGGGACCGCGCAGATAATCCGCAGGCGTGGGGGCCGGGGGCTGGACCTCTGAACTGCCCTCCAGGAACCCCCAGGCCATAGGCAGCTGGTGAAACGTTTCCAACAGACCTGCCAGTGAGGAGCCTGCTGCCCGCGCCCAGCTCCGGCTCTGGACGCTGGGCAAGTCCGCGAGCAACTGAATTCTGCGTTAAAGGAAGGCCCGTGGTGCACCTGTGCAGCCGGAAGCAAGGCCCACGCAGGGAGCAGGACGGCGCAGGCCCAGGGAGGACCCGCCCCTCCCCCCCCCCACCGAAGAAGCTCAAAGGACTAGGTTATGCCTAAGAGAAGATTCGATGGGAAATAAGGCTAACCAATAGCATAACACCCACGTCAGCCGTTAAGAACTTAGCTTGCAGCACTTTGGGAGGCCGAGGCGGGTGGATCACGAGGTCAAGAGATCGAGACCATCCTGGTCAACATGGTGAAACCCCGTCTCTACTAAAAGTACAAAAAACTAGCTGGGCATGGTGGCGCGTGCCTGTAATCCCAGCTACTCAGGAGGCTGAGGCAGGAGAATTGCTTGAACCCAGAAGGCGGAGGTTGCGGTGAGCTGAGATCGCGCCATTGCACTCCAGCCTGGGTAACAAGAGCGAAACTCCGTCTCAGAAAAAAAAAAAAAATTAATAAAGTAGGTGAGGTAATGGATATGTTAATTAGCTTGATTTAGACACCCACAGTGTATACACACTGTATATCTCACATGTCATGCTTTACAACATACATGTATATTGTTTTGTCAATTTTTTTAAAAGATATTAGCTCATATTAGTATTTCAATCGGCCAGCCAGGAATATTTGATAGAGAAGGGGCAGGGCGCAGATCCCAAGAGACTAGAGAAGAGGCAGATCAGCTATCATGGGGCCGGTGGAGCCTCAGCTAGCCCAGGGACCGCTGAGACGTCAGGAGAGGCCAGCATGTGCTGCAGCAGCAGACAGCACCAAACCTCAAGGCTGAGCACAGCAAAGGTGCGTCTCCCCTCACACAAGGTGCACTTCAGCTCTGGGCAACTCTTGGAGGAGCAGTCACCCTGGTGGCAGGCAGTGGCTCAGTCTCCACCCAAGACGTCCTGCGTGGTCACTGTGGGAGGGAGAATGAGAGGACCTGGAGAGTCAGACTGGCAGGTAAATGCCTCCCCCTGGAGGTGATATAGCCTTCACCCATCACATGACCCCACTTACTGTGAGGGATCCAGGAGTGTCATCTTCCAGGGACCTGGAAGGAGAGGAGAGCCAGATGGGGTTGGCGCTGAAAGTCTCCATCAGCCAAGGGTGGGAGCCTGCGAACTGGCTCTACCTATGCCCTGCTTTGGCAGGAGGCTGGCTTGCTGCCTGGGGCTATGCTCTTGTCACCTGTCAGCTGCACACAGGTGCTCCTGGACTTACTATGGGGTCACATCCCAGTAAACCCATTGCAGGTTGAAGATATGATAAGGTGAAAATGCATGTAATACACCTAACCTACTGAGCACCATAGCCCAGCCCACCCTACAGGAGCTCAGAACACTCATTTCGCCTACAGCTGGGCAAATTGTCTGGCAGCAGTCCCCTGTAGGGTTGTTTACCATCACGATCTCGTGGCTGCTGTCCCGCATCGAGAGTATCTTACTGCTTCTTACTGAATACATATTGCTTTCTCACCATTATAACGTCAGAAAAATTACAAGTGGAACCATTGTAAGTCGGTGACCATCTGGCTTGTTGGAAGTCACAATGAGTGATCCCAGAGTGTTATGGAGAAGTCTCCTGTGGCTGAAGCTGCACTCAAACAAACCACCCCTGCCCCCAGGGAGGCCCCACTTAGGAACACAACGCACTCAGGAGGCAGGCAGAGATGCAGCACAGGAGTGGCCTGCCAAGGTCACTCCCAATCTCTATGTGTGTGTAAGAGAGAGTGTGTGTAAGAGAGACAGAATATGGACCCAACTTGAGCTCCTAAAACCAACAGTGCCTGAAGCTATGACCCATTCCACAACCAATAAATTTCCTCTTTCTATTTAAGCTAGCTTGAGCCATATCCTCAAACAGTTACAAATGAAAAATTCTGATAACTAATTGGTCTTTGGCTGCAAAGCCCAACACAGAATTCTCCTTGGCTAGGCTGATCCACTAGGAGCCCTCCTTTCATGAGGCCCCCTTTTCCCCTAAGGCCAACCTGTTAGTGAAAAAAAAGCAAGTTACCCGGCCCCTGTGTCGGGGCAGGAAGACACAGGCCCTTCCTTCTACTGAGGGCGAGTCTATCCTGGCCCTTCCCTCTCATGCCCAGTCTTCCCAGTTCCCTTCAAGCTCATGTCCTGTGGGCCCAGAGGTGGGGATGTGACAGAAATGAGGTACTCCTAGGACCACTAGAGAGCCCCATCCCCTGTGATGTGGGCTGGCCCAGGGGTCACTGAGTGAGCCTCCTCTGCACCTCATGGGAGAGCTCCTCGTGACTACTGCAGGGCGGGTGCTACAGGGGACAGGGTTTGGAAAACAGACCTTCTCAAGTGAGCTCAGGTGGAGGGGGATTTCCTAGCGGGCCCCGGGAGACCACAGCCCACCCATGTGAGGGCTCACGGGGCCTTGGGAGTGTGTGCAGCTTCTCTTCTGCACCTGCAGGGGCTGGTTCTTCCGGCCCCTTCTAACCCCACAACCATTCTCTGCATGCGGGCTCTGCAGCCTGCTGGCCCGCCCTGTCTCACCCCAGCTGGCAGCCTCAGAACCCTGCCCATGCAGATGTCATTTCCAAAGACCTAACCACACAGCCCAAAGTCTAGCAGGTACAGCTGCCAGATAAATGCAGAACACCCATGCAACATTTGGGATGTGCTTATACTAAACTCTTGTTCAAATCTTTATTTGAAATACAAATATGGCCGGGTACGATGGCTCACACCTGTAATCCCAGCACTTTGGGAGGCCGAGGCGGGTGGATCACGAGGTCAAGAGATCGCGACCATCCTGGTCAACATGGTGAAACCCCATCTCTATTAAAAATACAAAAATTAGCTGAGTGCAGTGGCATGTGCCTGTAATCCCAGCTACTCAGGAGGCTGAGGCAGGAGAATTGCCTGAACCCAGGAGGCAGAGGTTGCGGTGAGCCGAGATCGCGCCATTGCACTCCAGCCTGGGTAACAAGAGCAAAACTCTGTCTCAAAAAGAAAAGAAAAGAAAGAAATACAAATATAACTGGGTATCCTGTATTTTTACTTGATAAGAACTGACAATACTCATGGGAGGAAGAAAGGCTAAGTAGAAAGGTAGATCCCAGGACTGCTTTCTGGGGTGCACCCCTCCCTGTGCCCACCCAACAGATATTTAGGCTTTGAAGCAGGCCTTGGCCCGGCAATACCCAACACCGGGGGAGCTGTAAGTGGCTGCAGGGGCACCAGAGCAAACCCCAACATGGGGCACAGCAAAGAGGCATCCTGCTGCTGCACCACATTCCCGGTCACCTGTGAGGGCCTCTGATGACTGGCACTCCAGGATCCTCTCCCCAGCCAGCAGCCGCTCCTGGCAGTGACTACGTGGAAGCTCCCAGTGACCTTGGTGGGTATGAGACTGCTGGGCTTCATCTCTAGCCTGGCCCAGGCTTTGCAGGAAAGGATGATGAATGGCCACTCCTCATGCCATGCCCACACTTCATGAAAGTGCCCAGGGGATGGTCAGTCCATTTCAGATGGCCCTGGCAGTCGGGGCTGGTGTTCCACATGCCTGGGGGGCGGCCTGCACTTGGAGCAGCCCACCCCCCAGGGTTTCCTAACTGAGCCTGCAGCAGGGAGCTAAGCCGGGGAGGATGGCAGTGGATCCTGAAGCCTGTGGCCTGAGCTCTGGTGCGTGGCTGGCTGGATGTTCAGTTCTCTCTCCTGCCTGTGATAATGAGTAGTAACAAGGGGCTGGTCAGGTTCTTTCCAGGAAGGTAACATTATCACACAGTGTGGAGTAAAGGGACTCCATATCCTGCTGGGCAGTGCAGTAGCCCCAGGCCACATCCATGGATTCTCATCATCATCTGCATTTAGAGGAGACCAGGACACAGAGGGTCTCAGAGGGGCCCGGCTGCCACATGGACTCACATCCTTGGATGTGCGACCCTGAATTCCTCTTACCTGGACCCCAGAAACACGTCACCCCTAAGAAACCCCAGAGTCCCAGAGTGGTACGTAGCTGCCCGGCCCCATTCAGCTCTCACGGGTCCTGCCTACGATGGTGGAGGTGCTTGCTTCCTCCCTCCCTCCTTTCCTTCTTTCCTTCCCTCCCTCCCTCCCTCCCTTCCTTCCTTCCTTCCTTCCCTTTTTCCTTATGGGCTGAGTGCATGTGCCAGCTCACCTGGGTGGAGCAGAGTGATCAGGACCTAAATCCAGGGACTCCTGGGGCCCTGCAGGCATGACTCCTCCCTGCTCAGTGTTTGCAAACTTAGATTATGAGCCACTGAGGTTTGAACAGAAGCTCAGTGGGCGGCGATTCCTAGAAAATAGGAGTACATCACACGCAGGGTGAGTGTTTCATGAAAACGGTATCAGCGATACACATACATGAATATATGTGCATACATTTGTACGTGCATGCATATATCAATTACGAACATATACTTGAATTTTCTGTCGAGATGGGGGGTGAGTGTAGGGTGAATGTGTCTTGCATAAGGGCTGGTGCCAGTTTAGGGATCTGTCCACGCCTGTGCATACACACGCAAGTGGGGGCTGTGCAGACTGCATCACCTCCTGTGGGTCACAGCCAAAGACATCTGAGCAACTCCCTTTTATTCTGTTTACTTCAAGAGAAAGAAAAAGTAACAAGCCAAAAGCCACGGGGCTTCTCAGGAAACAGGCTGAGGGACACTTGCAGCCGAATCGGAAGGTCCGGAGGTGGAGGCACATCCTTTGCCCACCACAGATGCTGGAGGGCGTGTCGACGTTGCCTGCAGATGTCCAGGGAAGCGCGTGGACCTGGGAGGCAGAGGGCTGGGGGTCTGTGATCTTGGCAAGCTCTCCTGCCTCCCTGATCACCTTCCTTGTCTGTCTTACCTATAAAAGATTGAGAGCCTCTTTCGGCTGTTTTCAGGTTAAACACAGCACCTGCAAGGGTCCTAAGTATGGCCCCGGAGAGACCCTTCTGTGAGTCATTCTCACAACCAAATGTTTTCAGCTTGCAGAGAAAACCCAAGCTGTCCCCAGTGTCCCTTACAGTGACAAAGGCCCCTCAAAAGCAGCCCCACCCCCACAGCCTACAACCCGCTGAAGGGACAAAACATAGACAACACTTAAAAGAAGTAAAAACACACATGTTGATCCCACCCCATCCCTTAGCGTGCGTAAGATATACACAGGAAGGAAGTGGCCGGGTGATTCAAGGAGCTGAGCTGCGACGGCTCGGGAAAGGAATATTTTCTGACAAGTCCGCCCTGACTGTGGTTTTCAACATGATTTCAGCCCAGTTTTGGCTCGTCCCCCGGCCCCCGCCGGCACTTGTGTCTGCAGTCTAGACACAGCAGCCAGGGTGGACGCCGGTGCAGGAAGGCGCCCAGCGGGCTGCTCCCTGGCCTTGAGGTTGGAAAGAGGCCGTCGGAGCAAAAGCTGCTGCTGGCCAGCGTTGGCGGGGGGCTGTGGCCGGGATGGGGAGGCATGGGCCGCTGCCCAGTCCACAGGGCTGAGGAAGGAGTAGAGCTCCAAGAAGCCTGCTTCCCCATGTGTTCCCAGCTACTGACTCACAAACAAACCTGTTTTTGATTTCTGCTCTTAGCCCACTTCAGGCCCCAGCACGTCTACCCTGTGGAACCAGGGAGCTCCAGACACGTCATTCTCAAACTCAAAAGTCCCTTCCACACCCCTGAGATAGCAAAGACCAGTTCTGAGCCTCTCCCACCTCCATCCGCAGTGTCTCCTGCTTTCCAAGCCTTTCCACACCCCAGTCTGGCTCAGCTGGAGGCAAGCACCTGATTCGAATCTCCCTTGCTGCTGGTTGCTAGCCCTCCTTCCCTGCTGTCGCTGATCCTGCATATTACTGTGCGGGCAGCCGTATGTCCAGCTGTGTGCAGCTGTATGAGCCTGACCTCCCTGAGCCTCATTTCCCCATCTGTAGAATGGGGATATTGAGAGCTGTCTGCTGAGATGAAGTAACAGACATAAATCAGCACGCCTGACACACAGTCCTGGCACCAGCGCTGGGCCGCATAAATGATTACACCCCGATTACACCACCAGTGACAATGATGGCAGGCCTCTCCCCGCCACTAGGTGGGCATTTCTCTGGGGTAGGACTTGGCTGTTCTCTCTCCATCTTCCCCCAGTTCTACAAAAGATTTCCTATATCTGGCAGGTACTCAAAAAAGGAAATGTGAGAGTTGGTATCTCCTGGTGGTCTGGGACCAGAAGATTCTTTGCGTAGCGAGGGCAGCTAAGAGCCCAAGCTAGGCAAACTGCACCTTTTGCAGGAGGGGCAAGAACAGCTGGGGGGGCAGCTGTGGCCTTGACTACCAGGGACTGGCGTGGGACTCGTGTCCCTTGCATGGAGCCTGAGTGGCCAATCAGCCTTAGCCCATACAGGGGCAGCACTGCTTCTAGACCAAGAGCTCAGGGAGACCTCACAGGGCTGGACTCTCAGGGTGGGGGTATTTTTGAGATGAGATTCCCTGGGGCCCACAAAGGCACTATCGTCTGAGCCCACAGGCTGCACGGGCATCCTAGCCCATGGCCTTCAGTCGAACGGGAGGTGGGAAACAGGTGAGTCCTTCAACGGCCCTGGCATGACGGGGACTAGGGAAGAGGGGGACACTGGTGGAAGAGAGGGGTCACCCTGGGTGGAGGAAACAGAGCCTACAGTCCCGGGAGACCAAGGTGGCTAGAGTTTTCAGGACAGAGGACCGAAAAGGAGAGAGCTGGCAAAACAGAGCCCTGGACATCCGCAAAGGGTCTCCTCGATTATTCGCTTCATGCGTGTGAAGAAACTGCCTGGGCCAGTGAAAGCCACTGTGTAGAAGTAAACAGCAGCTGGGGCTCTCAGGGTGCTCCCACCAGGCAGAATGCACAGCTCCTGATTCACTGGGCATCGGTACGGTACTCGGCGGGTAGCCTGGACTTAGCCCTGGACTAAGCACTGCTCCACACCCACCTAACAAATCATCAAAGCAGGACCCAACAGATCAAACCATTCTCAGTAGCTTCACTGCATCTCAGAAAAAAACCTCAAGATTATTTGTGTGTTTCTTTTTCTGTTTGGTTTTGAGAAAGTCTCACTCTGTCGCCTGGAGTGCAGTGGGCGCTGGAATCACAGGCATGCACCACCACGCCCGGCTAATTTTTGTGTTTTCAGTAGAGACGGAGTTTCACCATGTTGGCCACGCTGGTCTCAAACTCTTGGCCTCAAGTGATCCGCCCACCTCAGCCTTCCAAAATGTTGGGATTACAGGCATGAGCCACTGCACCCAGCCTAAGGTGATTTATAAGAATACAAAAATATCCAGCTCCAACACAGTAAAATTCACAACATCCAGCTTGCAATGGAAATGACCAGGCCAGGTGCGGTAGTTCACGCCTGTAATGCCAGCACTTCGGGAGGCCGAGGCAAGAGGATGACTTGAGCCCAGGAGTTTGAGACCAGCTTGGGTAACAGAGCAAGATCTCATCTCTACAAAAAATACTAAAAGTTAGCGGGGTGTGGTGATGCATGCCTATAGTCCCAGCTACGCAGGAAGCTGAGGCAGGAGAAAATCTTGAGCCCAGGAGGTTGAGGCTGCAGTGAGCCGTGATCACACCACTGCCCTCCAGCCTGGGCAACACAGCAAGACCTTATTTCAAAAAACAAAAAAGGAAAGAAAGAGAGAACAAGAAAGAAAACAAGAAAAGGATGGAAGGAAGGAGTTGAGTTTGATTTGAGATTTAGTGTTGGAATGGTTATTCTCATTATATAAAATTCTAGTGTTACCTTGTGTTTAGAATGGAGGCTATTTTGCTAGAACTTTAACTCCCCTTCTCATAAGGATAACACTGTTGTACTCCTCCATCCCCACATTTTAAGTTTTTTCCCATGGGTGGTGAGGGACAGGGGAGCATCAGGGGAGAAGTGACCTGTACCACCACTAGGAAGGAAGCTTTCTCAAGAGTCTCCTTGGTCTTCCCTGTGAGTACCTGGTGAGAAACAATTCATTTTTTAACTTTGTAGGTGCAATTTATATACTATATGAAATCTATTAATTGCTCTATTAATTTTACAACCTGTTGTCTTGCAGAATTCTTTTATTTTCTGAGGTAGTTTTACCAACTACTTTACAGTGTCATTCTCTAGGATTTTCCAGAGATACCATTTTGTCATCTGCAAACAGAGATGGTTCTTCTTTTCCGAGTTTTATGCCTCCAGTTCTTTCCTCTTACCTGATTGTGTTGGTTAATCTGTTAGATAGTAATAAAGCTGAGAAAATGTTTGCCTTGCTCCTAACCTTAGTAGGAAAGGTCCTAGTGTTTCCTCATTGAGTACCAGTGATTTTACTATGAGGAATATACATAGTTTATAAGGATGTATCCATTCACTTTTTTCTTTTCTTTTCTTAAAAAAGACGTGGTTTCACCATGTTGGTCAGGCTGGTCTTGAACTCCCGACCTCAGGTGATCCACCCACCTTGGCCTCCAAAGTGCTTGGATGACAGGTGTGAGCCACCACGCCCAGCCCCATTCGTTTTTTTCAAGACTGTAAGTACAAATGGGTCTTAAATGTATTCAAAGGATTTATTGGCCTCTGTAGAAACAGTCATATAATTTTTTCTCCTTCAAATTATTAATGTGGTCCATTTTATATTTATTATTATTACTATTTCTTTTTTTTTGAGACGGAGTTTTGCTGTTGTTACCCAGACTGGAGTGCAATGGCGCGATCTCGGCTCACTGCAACCTCCGCCTCCTGGGTTCAGGCAATTCTCCTGCCTCAGCCTCCTGAGTAGCTGGGATTACAGGCACTCACCACCATGCCCAGCTAATTTTTGTATTTTTAGTAGAGACGGGGTTTCACCATGTTGACCAGGATGGTCTCGATCTCTTCTCTTGATCCACCCACCTCAGTCTCCCAAAGTGCTGGGATTACAGGCGTGAGCCACCGCACCTGGCCTATTTCTTATTATTGAATCATCTTTGCGTTCCTGGTATGGAATTGCTTTTCACTGCAACATTTAGTTCTGTAGTTTGAGGAAGGCTTTTTCTTTTTCTTGATTTCCACTCTCTTGTAGCCAGAGTATTTCTCAGATGTTTATCTTTCCCCAGAATTTGTTCATGGGTGGTTAATTTTCAAAATCTTTTCATATACATAAAGCATGATTTCTGCTTTCATAACTAACCGTTCGGCTTACTGCATCATTTTGAAGTCAAGACAGTTTTCCCTCCCACCCCGAAGGAAGCCTTCTATTTCTCCTTAGTACATGCTGCTGAGCTCAAAACTCTGCCAGTGACCTGTGCCACCCCCTCCCTTTACCTTTCTTGTGG